GCGTACAGCAGAGGAGTGGAATAAGTTGCCAACATCTGTTTTCCATCCGATTATAAACAAAGTTACATGATCTCAAGTAGATACATAGATATATAATGGCAATGTCTTACGTTTACGTCCAGTATAATACTTTGTCCAAGGCCTAGTCAGTGTCAGCATCAGTTAATCATTCTTATCATTAACGAAGATGGTGTTATTTGCTTCTTTATCAACTACTACCTTTTGGTATGAGGAGTTTTGGCGAAACTATATGCCGGTGTTGCTGAATTGCTGCTTCGGTTTTATCATTTCTATAATTGTTTGAAGTAGATTTTGATACGTAAAATGGTTGGGATTTTAAGTTTTGAATATCAGTGCATTTGAACTACTAGTGGATTGGTGCTGTTGTTTTTATGTTTCGTTATTTAGGGCATTTATTTAATACAATAAAGGATATCCTCCTTTATTGTATTAAATAAATGCCCTAAATAACGAAACATAAAAACAACAGATCCTTTATTGTATTAAATAAATGCCCTAAATAACGAAACATAAAAACAACAGCACCAATTCATTGTTGCCTGTTTTTTGAGGGTAACATCACCACTGGCAGATTACTGCTCCAGCTTTTTCGTTTAAATAAATGTTTGAAATAGATATTGATGCATAAAACTGGTGATATAAATCTCAGGCTTTTTATCAGCTTAGTACAGGTAGGTAGGCACACTTGAGATATTACCATCATTAATTGTTCACTAGGTTGAGCTATCAGGTCAGTATCTCCTAAGCATTTTGACGTTTTGCATTGTGACATATGTATCAGCAGCACTGACCTCTTTAAATAAACTGGCTATAACCGTGACATAATGGGGCGATTTGATTATCACCATTTTGGCGCTGACAGCAGAAGTGACCGTCCACGGAACTAATAATAGAGAGAAGACAGTGTGAAAAAATATATCGATAAGAATTCTATACCCAGTACCCAGATCTACCCGTAACATCCATTCTATTTTTGTATCATATTAATATAATGCCATACAATAAATAAATGTATCAATTAATACCTAGGCCTTAGATGCAAGCTTTATATTTCATATAAAACAAGAATCGACGCTACGTTGATCTATCAACGTTTTTATTTTTAACTACAGAACGGATTTTGTTCCGCGTTTCAAATGAGAAAATGCCTACGCATACGTGCATTGCGGGGGCAAGAACGGATTATGTCGGACACGCACCTACTAAAACCCCATGATGTTCTACCTTCACCACACATTGACAGGGCCACGGAAACGCTTTCAAGCACATCCGCGGCCCCACCAGCGGTGTGGAGCCACTCCCCTCCTTAGTTGAGACTTCCCTCCCCGACTTCCCGAGCCCGATATGTGGAGGCCATAGAGCCAAGAAAAAACGAGCACTCGGAAGCACCAAGTGGTACTGTTTCGTCAAAGTCGCTGAGAATAGTCGAGTGGCGCATTACCGTACCCACAATCCTTTTCCCTTGCGACACCACCTCGGCTGCAGTGATGTAGAGATAGGACTATCCTCTAGCCGCAGCTCACTAACACACATCAGGGCTCAACAAAGATCACTCAGAGTAGCCACCTTGGGCCAGCCCTTTATTTCGGGCCAGCCATGTGAATTGCCCAACATTTATCATGGGTTACCAAGCCACGGCTACTTACCTCCCTCACCCTTTCCCCGCCACGACAAGGCGGATATCCGTTCAGGGCGGAGTTATTTCTCATCTTAACTCACGCAAATTCACTAAGGACATTAATAATTTTGCAGTTCCAATATAAATTTATTCCCTTGATGCAATAAATTGGTCATAATTATTATACAGTCATAGTCTTGTAAACATAAGTATGTAAACAGTAATATAAAAACGTTAGTAGATGTTAGTAGTTACGATATTAAGATTAGTAACAAATTTTTAAGTACCTATATTATCAAATAGTCTTAATTTCCTTTATATTAGCTGCAAATTCACTTCCTTGTGGAATGTTATCCTACTTTCCTTTTGGTACGAGTTACGTACAACATATTACATACTAAGCACACTCTCATTTTTACTAAAATAATTTTTATTATGTAACTAAAATCAAACATAATCAAACCACATAAAATACTTTCATTATAGTTTAAAAATTCAAAATACAGAGATATGATTTAACGCTTTCCTACCTGACTATAGATTTTCAAAGAGTTTTCCAAAGTTAACTTTTTTATATTAAAGTAACCGAGTAGGTAAAAACGTGTTGAATGTAAATTCAAGAAAAGCAACTTCCTTCTGCGTGAATCCCATATCTCTGGTGCCCTTTGACCTACAGGACCCAAATTCAAACTCGACCGAGCTACTGCCTCAAGGTATCCACATACCAAATTTAAAGTCAATCGGTCGAGTGGAACGGAAGTTATCGTGTCGGCATACAGACTAACAAACTGCCAGCTAAAACCATTAACTTTCTTTAAATGCTACGCAGAAGGAAGTTAATAATCGGACAGATTTTTTTTAGATTTTTATTATACCTAGAAGTACTATTTCTAAGACCTAGACTAATTTGTACCGTTAGTTACTTTATGTATCACAATTTAGGTACTTTGATAGACAATATGAGTAAATAAAAATAATGAGATCAAGCGTCAACCTCGTGCTATTCTAGAAAACAGTTTTTTTTTTATCATGCAACCACAAAAATACATTGCAGTAAGAACATTTAGTATAAGGTTTGGACTGAATCTTCTTGAAGTTGTAAACCTAACACCTTACACAATTTTCTGAAAATGTAGGCCAATGTATACATCTGTTACCCAAACATACATCTCTCAGAGTAGCATAATTCAATTTGTGTTTTAGTACAGATCCTACCCTTGATTTTATCATCGATTCGTCCACGCTTCCACTCTTTCACGGGTCTCATGATAGCATTCTTGAATTTTTTTTATCGAGTGCATAAACAACAGCTTTTAAATTATATAGCTTATCTTTGCAGTTTTTAGGAATTTGAACATTATCATTGCCGTGTAGATGTGATCAAATCATAGCAAATCTGTCTCTTGGCATGTTGTTGCATATAAGTAGATTGTTCAGATCAGATGCCAAAGAGTAATGGCTGTCCAAGCCGGTCGAGCGTTGTAGCCCATATATAAATTCATACCAATAAATGCTTTGCTCCTTTTTTAGATTCAATACCTTTCAATGCCTTTCTGTGTAGCGTAATGGTTACTTTGGTATAAAATCCTATCTAATATAGCGTCAATCAATACAAAAAAATATATCAGTCGGCTTAGTTCAGTGAGCAAAACATGCTCGTACTACTTTACTATTTGCATTATATTCCGATATATTTGTCTCAAGTCTCGTTTCTTTCACTTACGTTTTGGTTCGACTACTTTCGCGCGGGTAGCTCTAAGCATGGACGTATTTGTTGAAGTAAGAGCAATTTGGGAACTAGGGCTAGGGATTGGAGATGTAGATACCTGATGAACAGGACAACCTGATGGCCGACAAATGAAAAGTCTTCATTTGTCGGCGATGAAGGAATTTTGGCTAAGACCCTCGCAATAGCCTCCTTAAAATAGTCATCACAGCCTCTCAAAGAGGGTACGTGAAGATCTTTTTTTTTTGACTTCTTCATTGGAAACACCTATCAGAATCTTCGCTACAGTCTGGAAGAATCTCTAACCACAGAGCATCAATGTGGGCAGTTTTCTTAAAAATATCCATTACCTATAACTGCAATCTATAACAACAATGAAAATTGTTTGAAAATAATAAGAAGATAAATATTGGTATATAACGAAACAAAGTCCCATTCATTGTGTATAATTATCATAAAATCCAATAAATTATAAGACCAAAAGTTTCTGACGGTACTTTAGTCCTCGTCGGTTTTTATAAATTATACACATGAAATAAGGTAATAATAGATTCTGTAAGTATTTGTAAATCTAATTGATAATATAAACTTACTATACAATCGAAAAAATTTGAACTTACCTATGATATTATATTTTTAAAACTATAACAAATACACCGCAAGGCGAACTCACTGAGTGCCTTACAAATTGTTACTTGCAGATCAAATTGATTCCTCGATTCTAGTGATATACCGAATTGTGTGCTCTTATTGGCTCACACCAATCGTTCTCTAAAGGATCACCAGTGAGTTTAAGCACAAAGTGTTTGCGTATTCAATGTATTTGACAAAAAATCAGGAAGGAAAGGGTTAAATAATACCAAATAATCCAACAGACTTTGGCATATTATGTCAATTTTAGTTCCCAGTACGGACAAGGATGGCGCTTCAAATCGGCATAAGTATTTTGTATGGCATAACCTGTCCATTATTTTGTTAATAACTGGCTTTACGGCCCTAGGTTCTAGCCATTCTGAGCCTGAAGTTACAATGTATAATTATCCTTCATAGTACACTGCTTCACAATATGTTGATGCGTCACATTTTGCAGCCCTTTTTTTTTTTGCCGGCAACTTGAGCCAGCAGACAGTTGACAATTGGCGATGGTATCTCAAGGCGCCTATGCAGACAGACACCTTATCTTGAGAATCACATCACTATCAGAGCACTTGTTTCATCGTTTCCACTAATAGTTCGCATGCGTAGATATTTAATACACAAAATCGCACCACTTTTACATATCAAAATCCACTTCAAACCATTATTTAAACAATAATACAGGAGCATCAATCCGTCGCCGGTCAAGTTCCCGCCAAATCTCTAGCCAGTCCAGCGTACTTGTATATATAGAGGTCAGTGATTATCAGTGAGAAGTTTTGTGAACAAAATGAGACTAGGCTGTATGTTCTATGACCTATGGCTGCTTTTATGGCGGATCGGATCGTTACAAATAACAACAACTCTAGTCTAGTGTCATCAGGAATCAGGTGTCATTCATTATCTAAACAAAAATTCTAGCTTTTATTCTAACTTCCAGTTTGTGATGAAATTTGTTCAATCAGGGCTGCAAAATAGTATTATAGCCCCTAAGTAATCATGGAAGCTGTTCCCAAACTACCTTTGATCAGTTTTGAATTAAAAGTGAGCCCCGAGAATACGCATTTTGGACCTAAACTAAAACAGGTAAATAATAAGTTTGTTTTGTGAATAATTTATTACCTTTCTTTGTTCCAACTGCTGCTTACTTAATTTTATGTTGTAGTATATAGCAGAAGCATATAGAGAAGACCCAGATAGTTATGGAAGTGAAATACATCAATTGGAAGGACTGCGTTCGGCCGCCGTAAGGGCGACTGTCGACGCTGCAGGTCTTAGTGCTCTAAACAGATATTTTTGCCAGCTGAGAGCGATGCAGAGTCGATTTCCCATGGCTAAAGGACAACCAGTCGCTTGCACTTTTGTTTGGTAATGCCTTAATTAAATTATGTCACTACTAAATATTGATTTCCTCTTCCAATCTTCTTAAATTATGTTACATATTAAAAAAAATATAACTACGCCATATTTTGTAATAATTACACAAAAGATATCGTATAAAATATTTGTTATTTGTTATATGCTTACATATTCTTAAGCTTTTACTATTATATTGTTGATATTTGAATGAGAAATGTTGTGCTTGTTTGATAATGGGTGTCAAGCTCATCGGATTGTTCCTAAATGTCGATCTCTGAGTTTGTCAGTCAGCTCCACAGTTGTCTTCAGTTTCATTTAGCAATCACCATTAATTTTTTTTTTCTGTGCTACTAATGTTAGTAGCCACCAGCAACATAATACATTCTTTGGACAGTTCTTCACCTTATGCATTTTTCAGTTTTAAACTTTGTAGTCTTATCTGGCATTGATTTTTAAAAAATGTCAGTTATAGGAGATGGGAGAATCAGAAGCTGAATTTTGATTTTACAATAGGCCCAGTTATTGCCTAATTGTTGATACAGTGCAGGACCTCCTTAAATGGTGGATACAGTGGAAGGAGTGAGAGCTAACCACCAACCAACATCACTTTTCTTTTCATCCTTTTGCATGCAATAGCACAAATCAAAGCAACTTTTTGGTCTAGAAGCAAAATCTTTCTTTTATAGCTGGTCATTTTTACTGAAAGGAGGTTCACACTATCCAATATGATCAATCATAATTTGGCATTTTGTACCATTCAGGTAGGTAATATCCATAATAAACAAAAGAAGTGCACATGTTCATCAGGTCCCTGGAACTTGCTATGACATCTGAGAATCCTGACTGCCCATAGCAAGCCATCTGGCTTAGTATAGGTAATAAATATTAAAATTTCTATGCGTCTATATAATGGCTTGGTAATCAATAAAGCAAGTGTGCCCTTCTTTATTGATAGTGATTGAATGAATCGGTTTGTACGAAAACCAATCAAGTGTTTCAAAAATTTATTTAATAGAGAGTTTTTCATTACAATTTTGCTAAAGAGAATTTTCACTAAATATGGAAAATCTATTGTAGGTATTTTCTCTTTCAAAAATTACATTTTCATTGAATTTTATATATGAAATAGTGTTCATTTGTTTTAATTACAAATAAACACTATTTCATTTTAATATAATTCTATTCTGGATGCTCTTCTGGAGAGAAAAAATTTACTAAAGCTCTAACAAAACTGCTAGCTAGTAATTGGTACATTGTACTTAAAATACAATGGTTAAGCTACCTTCAACTTTTTTTTTATTTAACTTTTTGTTCTGACCTATGCAAAATAAGCTTAATATAATATTTTGTAGTCTTGTAGTGCTATGTTTGGATTAAGTTTTTAATTTTATTAATTAGGATAGGATTCAAAGCAGCTGTAGCACCTAGCCATCTCTATTGAAATTAGGATGTTTTTTTTTAGTTTCAATAGCCTTATGAACCATCCTGGATAAAAATCTGTGTTCATTTGCAAGGATTTGTGGTATTCATATCTGATGTAATGATGGGGTGATCATGGAATGTTCACAGAGTGCAGATTTTCTAGAATGTGCGATTGGTAAACAAATAGCTAATGTGAGGCCCAGGCACTCTGAGAAGTCTGCCGTCTGTATACATATTTGTAAGACCTACCTTTAAGAATTTTGCTATTAAAAAGACACACATTTTATATTCATTTTACAGGAAAGATCTCTATGCCAACATGAGTTGTTCTTTAGCTGACATACGATTTGAAATGGCTTGTATATTGTACAATATTGGAGCACTTCATACTCAACTAGGTGCGGCAGAACCTCGTACATCGCCCGACAGTCTTAAAGCTGCCTGCACTCACTATCAGCAAGCTGCATGGGCATTTAATTATCTAAAAGAGCACTATCCTCAACCGCCTGGTGCTGACGTGTCATCTGAGATATTGTCACTATTACAAGAAATATGTTTTGCACAAGCGCAGGAGTGCATTTTAGATAAAAGTATTCAGGATACAAGGAAATCCAGTGTGATTGGTTAGTAGATAATAATACTAGTAGTCAATAATAGATATGCAATTTTTATATTGCATGGTTAATACTCATAGCATTTCTAGGCCTTTTCTCAATTAAAAGCTTTGTTATTATTATGTAGAAATCTAAAAACTTATTTCTTGCATTTAAATACAAAAGTACTTTGTTATTATTACCTTTTATTAGTAGTGGTTCATGGAAGCCATTTTATATACAAGATTTTTGTTATTGCAAGTGATATACAGATCAAAAATTACAATGACAATCAAAGTTTAAGGTGTAAATTGAAATATATCTAGTTTTACGTATTTTATCGCGTATATTAACTTATTTTATATAGGTTTAGATAGGTTTAGATGTTAATTATCCTATTGTCAATTTATAAATTACGATTTTACTTTTTAAAGTTAACGAGTACTTTTGGACAGCTCTATGTAAAGCTTATAGTTTGTTGCATAATGAATTTTAAACTGAATTTGCATCTTTTTATAGGTTCAGTAGCAGCTCAAGTGTTGTCGTTCTACAAAAACTCTTTAGCACATCTTGGACCCTCAACAGGAACTGATAACATTCATGAAATAATTGGTACAAAGCTGTACAACCATTGGCATCGTTACCTCTCCTTCAAAGTGGGGTATATTGGATGTATTCTTTGTTTATATCAAGGTATGAATCATTACTGACAAAGGTGTTGTGATAAGATATGTAAATATTTTTCTATGTCATTGACTTAGATAGCCTTACAAAAAATCTTTTAAATAGAGAATATTTATCTCAAATCTAAATGATTATATTTATCATTATGGCTTCTGATGTATGGTATTGTCTACTTACGTCCCACTGTTGAGAGGGTTTTAGGGCAAGGAAAACACCGCCGTGCTGCCTCAATGCGTGTTGGGGAAGTTCACATGTCTTTGAAATATTTTTTTCTAATTTCTCACACATGCCGGTTTTCCCACTATGTTTTCCTTCACCGCCGAGCATATGGTGGTTCAGCAATTAAAATTGCTTGCGTACTGTGAAAATTACAGCAAACACTTAGCCCCTGACCTACCACAGCCGTGTTTAAAAGTAAAGTTAAAGCCTATTACATCCCAATGCTGGGTTCAGGTTTCAGCAATTTGTCTGCTGCACTACCCCAGTGCGTGTCTGCGGATATCACATGCCTACGAAATATTTGTATTCCTCAAACATGCAGATTTCTTCATGTTTTGGTCAACCGCCGAGCAGGTAGTAAATCAATACTTAAATTGGCAACTAAGAATTTCATTTTAACCGGCGGGCATCGAACCGGAATTGCTCGCATACTGTGTAATTACGGCCACCACGGATTGCCTGATGTAAAGGTTAATTATGTAATATTTAAAACCCTAAATTACACGCGGACGAAGTCGCGGGGAACAGCTAGTTTTAATCTATTTTAGTTCTTGCAAGTCGGCCTTTACTTTTTATTAAATGATAAAAATCTCTTCTTCTCTTTCGAGTTGACTAAGAAACATCACTGCTCAATGTAACAACTAGTATGTCTTCAAATAATGCACTAAAAATTTATTTTAAATTTATTTTATTAAAAATTAATTTAGCCCCTACTATTCCCATTCATGGAGGTATGTATAACTTGTTTAATAAAAAAAGACTCATCAAAATCGGTTGACAACTGATGAATATACATACTGCGAAACATATGCACAAATAAAAGAAGAAAAAACGTAGTTGGGTTGAGATAATTCCTGTCGCCTTTTACGACACCCACGGTATGATATGGGGTAATGGAAATTCTTACACTGCCACTACACGGTAAGAAAATTTATACAATAACGGAAAGAAATCCACGAAAATAGTTCTGTTCGGATTGGCGGAATTTAGGCATCCTCAAATGATTTTTATTAAGTTGTTCATTACAACGCGTATAGTGAACCAGCATTTTAAAATGGCTATTGACCTAATAGGCATATAAATCGTCTACTGCGCAATTGCAAAAAAGAATTGAGTTTCAATTGTTCACTAGACGTTTTCTAGGCCTGTTTGGTTAATAACGATTTTAAAGTGCTTATTTACTATACGCTTTGTGATCAAGGAATAGTTACAGTTAGACTGGTTGGGTAGATATAAATCGTCTACTACACAATTGAGAGTCAGGTCAAAAGATACATATCGATTGTTTGATGATGGTTTTTTCATCGGAAGCTCTAAGATCTTTCTGGCTTTTTCGTCGCATCTTACACGACATTTACAGGATGAAATGGGAAGATAATTTACTCCTACGTCGCTATATAACTTGACCCTAGCCGTATCTCGCCAGCAACGCAAAGTCAGGAATTTGCATTTAGAAAAATCCAAAATTAGGGGCTTTTTAGTTCCTAATTAGGTGGCAAGTTTAAAAATTAGGTGCTCTAAAATTTTCACCGAAAACTCTCCGATCACACTCTTGATCCATGGCTGTTAGACGGGAAATAAAGCTGCAGTCTTCAGTAGATTTGATAGCATACAGGCAACTGAACAGACAGATCCCCAAATGAATGCATGTCGACACTATTCCGATGATATTCCGGACATCAGTCTGAGCGAGATTAGAATGGCTCTCCAGCACACCTTAAAAACGGCAAGTCCCCGCGCGAGGATGGAATTACAGCGGAGCTTTTGAAAGCGGGTGGAAAACCGATACTTAAAGTCCTTCGGATCTCTATAATTCCGTTCTCTATGGTGGCACTACTCCGGAGGCGTGGAGCTAAAGTGCGGTGGCCATGTTCTTCAAGAAAGGCGACAACGCTCTCTTGAAGAATTACAGTCCGATTTCGCTTCTGAGCCGCGTCTACGTGCTGTTTTCGAGAGTCATTACGAATCGTCTCGCACGCAGATTCGACGACTTCCGGCCCTCCGAACAAGCAGGTTTCCGAAAAGGCTTTAGCACCATAGACCACATACATAACCTTCGACAAATTGTACAGATGACCGAAGAGTTCAATCTGCCACTTTGTCTTGCGTATGTGGACTATGAGAAAGCCTTTGATTCCGTCGAAATTTAGGCAGTGCTGCAGTCCCTTCAGCGGTGCCTAGTGGACTGTCGGTATATCGAAGTGCTGAAGTGTTTGTACAGTAGAGCTACGATGGCTATCCGAGTACAGAACCAGAGTACGAAACCTATCTCAACTGCAAAGAGGTGTAAGACAGGGTGACGTTATATCCCCGAAACTTTTTACCGCTGCATTGGAAGACGTTTTTAAGCTACTCAGCTACTGGATTGGAAAGGATACGGTATTAACGTCAATTGCGCGTACATCACTCACCTTCGATTTGCGGACGATATAGTCCTTATGGCAGAATCGCTGGAGCACCTAAACACTATGCTCAATGACTTCAATAGTGTCTCCCAACGGATAGTTCTTAAGATGAACACGGACAAAACAAAATTCATGTTTATCGTCCATGTCACACCTATGCCGGTAGTTGTTGGGAGCACTAAGGTCGAAGTTGCTGACGAGTATGTTTACCTGGGACAAATAGTCCGACTAGGTAAGTCCAACTTCGACCGAGAGGTCAATCGACGGATTTAACTCGGCTGGGCAGCGTTCGGGAGATTACGACACATTTTCTCGTCAGACATACCTCAAAACTAGATTGTACAACCAGTGCGTATTGCCAGTGATGACCTATGGATTTGAGACGAGTCCTTCACTGCTGGCCGTATGAGGAAGCTCGAAGTCGCTCAGCTAGCTTTGGAGAGGGCTATGCTCGGCGTTTCTCTGTGTGATAGACTTAAAAACGAAGATATCCGCATTAGAACTCGAGTAACCGACATAGCTCAAAGAATTAGTATGCTGAAGTGACAATGGGCCGGCCATACAGCTCGAAGAACCGACAACCGATGGGGACGAAAAGTTCTCGAGTGGCGGCCTCGTACCGGCAGGCGAAGTGTAGGGCGTCCCCCCCACTAGATGGAGTGACGACTTGGTAAGACATGCAGGAAGGCATTCCTTGGGGTAGTTCCATGTTCAGCAGTGAACTTATGAAGGGCTGTAATGATGATAATAGGTGCTGCAAGCGGCAATTAGAATCAAAATTGCTTTTAGAAAAAGCCCAAATTAGGGGCTTTTTAGGTGCTAATTAGGTACCAAGTTTAAAAATTAGTTGCTTTAAAATTTTCACCGCAACGAACTGTTGAAAGTTGCGTTGCTGGCAAAACGTATCGCTAGCAACGCAGTTACGATAATAGATATACGATAAATATTAATAGCAAGGAATTAAGTGATGAAAGTTTATTGAGGTCGGATGTAGATGACGGTAATATTGTGAGATTTATCGGGTCCAGGACCACAATTACCTTACTATAAGGTGTAGATGGCATTTTTTGATCTTTATCAGTTATATATTATAGATAAAATAGGTCGAATCTGTACTAAAACAGAATCAGAACGCCCCGACTCCACGTAGTCGTGTCTACCCTACCCCTAGAGTGTTTTTGTAAAGTCGTATGCGCGGAGGGAGAGCAGCCTCCGCCCGCTGTGGCAAATCGCAGGCATCTGTGCGAGTCGTAGAGGTTGAGGTTGGTCGCTGAAGCCGACCAATAAGCCGAAGCTGCGGAGGTGAGCATGGGTGCCTGTGATTTGCTACGCAAGGGCGAAGGGGCTGCACTCCCCGCAACGCCGAAGCCGTTGCAGAAGTAACGTAAAGAAGAAAGTTGTCAATATTCCTGTGTAAAAAAGTGAGGTTATGATTTTACAAGAAAAATGATTACTCATAAACTGGACATTTCCGTACGGGGGGAAGATTAGGGCGGCTTCCCCAGAACCCTAATCAAAAGCCCCTAATCTTGGGTTTTTCTAAATGGAAATTCCTGACTTTGCGTTGCTGGCGATACACAACTCTTGAGGGAACTTTAGAAAGAAATACATTTATTCACTAATACCTTACGCAATACTTAGAAAAGATGATTACTTAATTATAATTAAGAGAGTGGTACTAAGTTACATCAGCATTATACCACAGTCAGCATTGCAAATTTTTTGAAGCAAGCGGAATTTTAAATCGTTTGTATAAAGCGAGATTCATTGGATAAAAGCGGGACAGTAAAAAAAAAACTATTTCTTTTTTTAAACTTAGTGAAAAACTATTCTACTAAGGTTAATTTTGCCGCCCGGGTCGCCACTGCACCGTCGTGTAATCCCTAAAAAATGGAACTATATTGTCCTGCGCGTAGCATTTTCCCGCCAAAAAAAGCGAGGCATACGGCAACACTGACCGCAGTGAATAATAATTGCTTATCTTGCACTTAAGGTATGAATGCGGAAGAACTACAAAAGATGGGAGAAAGAGTGGCTTACTATCAGCAGGCAGTAGACAAATTAAACGAAGCCAAGAAACTAGCTAAATACATCGAACCAGTCCAAGTGACTCAAGAAGCACTGACATTCACGAATGACGTTGTTGAGGGGAAGAGGAAGGCTGCTAAGAACGAGAATGAGTTCATATACCATGAGGAAGTCCCCGATAAAGATCTGTTGATAGATTTGAAGCCAGCTTGCCTTGTTAAAACTCTACCGATTAACTTTAATGACCCTGAGGTATACAAATAGAGTTTACAGAGAAATATTTTCTCTCTATCAAAATTATTCATTTATAATTTATTCATTAGTTTTTTCAAAATTTATTTGCACATAGGCCGCTTCCATAGACTTGACCGCATCAGGTGGTTTGTAGTCTTCTGTTTTCCATTACCATTCCATTAGAGCCTATAAAAGTCAACTGCTAAACATAGGCCTCCCTCATAGATTGCTGCGTGGAGAGGTTTTGCCATAGTTATAACGCTTGGCAAGCGGGTTGGCAGTTTTCTATTATTTTTAGTTTTCTATTAAAGATGCTGCAGCCCATCTCTGTCTGGTTTTCCCTCTGTCGCCTCTTATGGATACCCTCGGGACTATATGGGGTAGTGGATATTTTTACACCCCTACTACTCGATTTACTCTTTTATCAGCAAGTGATTTCGCGCGTAACTCTTGCTCTGCACTTGCAAGTCATTTTTTTATAGTATAATGGTGACAAACGAGCACACAGTCTACCTGATGGTAAGTGGATGCTGTGGCCCATAGACATCTACATCTATACTCAATTAAGAACTAAGTTGGAATGCCTCGTTTCACATTCTTGCATAATAACCCTGCCCTGCTTGTCTTCGTTGAGACTGGCCGCCATGATCAAAATTCAGTCTGGAGGACACAATTATTTTTTTATAAAATTTAAGGTTCTAAGCCTCAGTTTCACTTGTACAGATAACATTTACTTAATTCAAAGATTTAAATTTATAATTTCTTAATTCAGCAAATAAGGAGTTGAATGTAAATTCAAGAAAAACAACTTCCTTCTGCGTGAATCCCATATCTCTGGTGCCCTTTGACCTACAGGACCTAAATTCAAACTCGACCGAGCTACTACCTCAAGGTATCCACATACCAAATTTAAAGTCAATCGGTCCAGTGGAACGGAAGTTATCGTGTCGGCATACAGACTAACAGACTGCCAGCTAAAACCATTAACTTCCTTTCAATGCTACGCAGAAGGAAGTTAATAAAAGTGGAAATAAGTAATTGAAAATGTTTAAAATATATCTTAATTATATATATATATATATATATATATATATATATATATATATATATATATATACTAGTACCTATCTAAAAATAGACTATTTCCAAAACATAATTTTCCTAAAATATTAAACACAATATTGCTTTCAGATATCAGGTCCCGACATTTTCTCGCGTTTAGTACCGATGGGAGCGCACGAGGCGGCATCTATGTACTCTGAGGAGAAAGCAAAATTACTACGACATGTTGTGACCCAGGCTGAAGCTAAAAACACGGAATTGACGGAGTTTATGTCTTCATTGCAACTTGATCAGTTAGAGGTTCTGGATTCCGACCAAAAGTATGTCATGTCACTGTCATTTACATAAACATAAGCACATCTCTTAAGAGGTACTAAGGTTAAAACATTTATTAAAGGGATCTTGGTAGCTCAAGATATTAGTGTTCACTTTAAATGTTACAATACACGAGAAAATCAACTTCATTCCCCACCATTTCTTCCGAGTTCGGTTGTGAAGGAAAACGAGCACGTACGAAAAACTTAATAAATATACCGTGCGGGTATACCCTTTTTTTTCGCTCCAAAACCCTCTCAGAAATAAGTGGAGGCTCGTGCACAATATTGAGAACTAAACTGTAATTTTAGCTAGAATGCTTAATGGTGAAGGAAAACTTTGTAAGAACACTCACACAGTTTCAGTAGAGCAAAACTTGATGCGGCCCCAAGGTACATACACCATGACATTATTTCTGCACAATGCCATAGTTTAGCCCTTACAGTTGGGAAACGAATGTACTTGCGCAGAGCAACGATGGGGGCCTAGCCAGGGCAGGGACTAGCGTATTTCACTGAGTCTGATAGGCAATACATGCGGTTGGCGCGAGCTTGTTTTATAGTGTATATTTAACTAATTTTAAGTGCAGTTTTCGAAAAATATAATATCTATAATGGTGCATTACTGTTATAGTTATACGAGTTACTAAGTAAAATTGAATTCAAATGACGGCCATGCTTATGTTTTCCTCATTCTTTTTGTTGATAAAATTGTATATCCGCATGCAATTATACATTACTGTTACGGCCCTCAGTTGCCCCGACAAAAAGTCGACTAGACCAGGGCCCATGAGTGATCCCCTCGATGAGCAACAGAGGGTTCGTGCCCAATGGCCTATGGAGACTTAACCTACACAATAGAGATAAGGCTAGGTAAATAAATAGTACGTACCTGGTTCCGAAGCTAAGACCGCCCCAAGGCTCGGTCAGGCCGTAGGTAGGTGTAGGTGCATGTAAGTGGTGTGTAGTAGTGTTTATATATGTGACCTGACCTAACTGAGATGATCAGGCAGCGGCCTGGTCCCAGGCTGCCCCACAATGCTGCATCACTCCAGCAGGCGTCACGAAATGACAATTTCTTTCTTCATTTCACTATTTCAGTCTATCAAGTTTATTGTGCACTATTTCAATCCATCAACTTTATTGTACATTTAATTAACTTCAAACTCAACTAAATCCCCGTTAATCGTAATCAAAAACGTAACACACGGCACGACTAATGAACTGTGGATCAAAGTTCACTTCCGTTTTCACTCAGCAACAAATTATTTCTAGAACCGAACGCGATCATCTCTAGGGTCACAAAGTTCCACGTTACAAACAACAAACTAAATTCCTTCGTACGATATTGATACTACGTCGCAATAAGAATTCAAAATCAGCCTAGCTGACACGCAACTAACTACAGAGTCTTAGTTGCGTGTCAAGGGCTCTTAACGCGACGGTACAATTGTAACGAAATTACTCGAATCACTCAAATTCAATACAAGCCTCTTGTCACGAAACGTATAAATTAGACGGTCTACACGAAAACCCAAATATTCACTAGTAATTAAACGCGCACAAAGACTCAAATTCTAGACCAAAAACCCAAAAAAGTGGTGGCGCGAAACCGATGCAGCGGTTACAAAATACGCTAATCGACCGCACCGCTGCTATCAAGCTACTGTCCCTCGCCCACGAGAGCCGAACGCCGGGAAGCTGCATACCGTAACCCCCCCCCCCCCGGCGAGGTCACGTTACCTCACACCATCGGGCGATTCGCTTAGTCAAACGCGATTGGATGGCGTTTCAAATGCCCATTTTTGGGCCTAAACAATTACATAATTAAATTTAACAATCGAAACTGAAAATATCTATGAAAAGAAAGTGTCTCTCACGAATATATTTGGCAGTGCAACACTTGTAAATGTGTTTTTTCCTGTAGTAATAAAAATTATTATTTTTTTATTTATTTGTGTAAACGTTTATGCACAAAGTTGTACATATGGTGGACTTAATGCCATAGGGCATTATTTCCCAGTCAACCATTAGGCTAAACAGAGATAGACAAACAAAAGGCGGTGCAGCAGTAATCAAAATAGAAAGGGCTAAAAAAATTGTATATATATCTAAATATACATATACACACACATACATACACATTAATAGTTAAATACACACAATATATACATATAAATACATACATACACATATACATGCATACAGTACATATATACACAATACATATAAATATTATATATGTCAGAACAAATATGAAATATACATATGTATATGAAAATGAGAGCTGTGTTAGTTCAAACTTGCAACGATTTTTTCACACGCTGACGACTTGTGCGTGCGTGCATGTGTGTGTGTGTGTGTGTGTGTGTGTGTGTGTGTGTGTGTGTGTGTGTGTGTGTGTGTGTGTGTGTGTGTGTGTGCGTGCGTGCGTGTGTGTGCGCGTGCATGTGTGTGCGTGAGCGCTTGTGTGTGTGTGTGTGTGTGTGCGCTTACGTGTGCGTGCGTGCATGCGTACGTGTGCATGCATGTGCGTGCGCGTACATGTGTGCGCGCGCGTTTGTTGCGTGTGCGGACTTTCAATAAAAACTATCTAAGAGCTTTTCTAACAACTATTATATATACTAATGTCAGTGATGCTATTTCTTTACAGGATACCGCAAGAAATAGTCGACAGATGCGCCGCCATGAACGCCAAGACGGAGATCATTCAATCACTTGTAGACTCGATGAACAACTTGGCTGAAGTCATCAGCGATGTCGAACATTCCCTTGCCGAGATCAAGTCTCTTATTCAGGTGAAAAATAACTGGACGTTTTTTAAATCTCATTGTTTCACTATCTATACATCAATACAAATAAATAAAATTGAAGTGTCTGTTTGTAATGCTAAAATTACGGCTTTTTACTAAATGCATATGAAAGTATATACGATACTTATAACAAAAACACAATTATTAAAATTTTTGTCTGTCTGTCAGTCAGTCTGTTTGTTCTCGGAAACGGCTGAACCGATTTTGACGGGACTTCAGTGGCAGATAGCTGATGTCATAGGGAGTAACTTAGGCTACTTTTATTTTAGAAAAAGAATTAGGATTCCGCGCAAAAAAACCAAAACCCCAATTAACTCGCAGGCGAAGTCGCGAAGAACAGCTAGTTGTAAATAATACTCTTTAAACAGTTCATTTGAACGTAATTACTTGTAGGCATTCTATGGGAGGGTCGCTCCTAACCGTGTAGAAGCTTTTTCTCTTTATTGAATTTTTCGGTCTTTCAATTTATAAAATGTTTGTAACCGAGTTATTGGAGGCTACATTATTTTTATAGAATTTACTGTAGTCTATTATACATATATGGTAAAATACGTGATCCTATATGGAAGGATGGTGTGTGTGTTCCGTTCTGAAGAGTATACAGAGCCAGTATAATTTCAGGCTGTAAGGCTTAATCTTAGTCCTCAGGTGACAAACGAGCACACAGTCCACCTGATGGTAAGTGGTTGCTGTGGCCCATAGACATCTACATCTATCCACGATCACGAATCAAAATGCAGTTGTGTTGTCACTCGTGAGGACTAAGATTGAATGCCTCGTTTCCAGTAAAAAGGGTCTCCGGTTCTCTAAACTCACCATACGAAACACAGCAGTGTTAAGCTGGTATTCTGTGAGAGCGTGGTTCTTCCCCGGTTGAGCCGACCCATTCGTGCTACAACTATACCAGTAATATAGCTGCAGCATGGCTCTACCACATAAGACACATCTGTAGCTTTCTTTGTTTAAAGTTGCTTCCTGGTTTCCATGGTCTGTTAGTTCGTTTGTTACTTTAGTTTTATAAAAAAAAATTAGTTATAATGTATAACTAATTTTGTGTTCGTGTTAGAAATAATTCTAGATACCTACCTGATATTCAATAATTATAACTTTTAACAAAAAGTAAAAACCGACTTCAAACTGCTAAAAAGGAAGTTATTTATTTGCTACCTTAAGGTGTGGAATTTTTTCTCCAAATTTACATAACCCATTTAAATCATAACTTATTTAATAAAAAAAATAATCATCACAATTGGTTCTCAACCTGCGAAAATATTGCGTAACGTATTTTCAATCTTAAAAAGGAATTTTCTTTATAAATAATTTCAGGAGGAAACCCTCAAAGAGAAAGATTATCAGAAACTGATGGGTCCACGTCCGCCCTCTATTGTACAAACGGAGATATCTAGAGAGTTCCACAAGTATCAAGAAGCCCACACGAGGACCAACGAAAGCAACCAAGTATTGCACAAAGCTATGACACTACATATTGCAAATTTGAAACTTTTGTCTCAGCCGTTGGAAATACTTCAGAACAAGATCCCGAGCATTGATAATATTGGTAAGTGGTATTTTATTAAGGTTACCAGGACATGGTGTACCTTGACAAATACTGCCCCTTTGTTATTGACGTATGGCTGAAAATACGTCGCAATATGCTGTACCCAAATCCCACATCCACTCACAATATCCACTACCCCATATAATGCCGTGGGTGTCGTAAGAGGCGACATAGGGAAATTGAAACAGGTGATCTTCCTGATAACAACTAAATACAATAAAAAACTGCGGTTGCCAACTCAATTATAGCAAAATCCCCACTATGAGGCAATCTAATGTAATGAAATGAAAATCCCACATGAAAGGGACCAGCATTGCCGACCAATCTTCCTGTTCAGCATGTTAATTATAATTCAAATCTCACGAAAATGCTTTACTTAGGATTCTTAAATGCTTATAGCTTATACCCATCCAGCAGTGGATTTAAAAGATTGGACAAGGGAAATTGATTGGTGAGCACAGAGCCCATTCACTGGAGTCATGTCCCTAGCACTAGCCCCCCGTCACTAGCTTCTGGAAATTTAATAATGTATATTTAGATAGACTTTCTGCTATCAATTCTTCACCAGAGCCCCGTGTATCAATTAGCAAAACGCATCGTGTGCAGATGTGGTTGGAATTTGGAGAAATGTTCGTGTTTTCCCTCTAACATCAGAAAAAATACTTGTTAAAGTATATATAAAATACTTTATAAAAAGTAATATCTAAGTATCAATAAAGTCCTGTAAATAATCACAACAGTAAGTATTATATTGTGTTCATTTTTAGAGGGCTTGGACCGCGAAACAATGAAAGAGATGCGACGCGTGGTGGGGAAAGCACGCGAGATGCAAACTCAACGCGACTCCCTCATACAGGAGTTGAGGGAAGCCGTCACCAGCGATGACATCACCGCGATTCTCCTCGCCAGGAGCTCCGAACCTCTTGACGAGATATTCCGGCAGGAAATCGAGAAACATACGCCTAAGGTAATGTCTCGTTCTGTCTAGAACATGAATAGCGAATCTATGACACTCGACAAACGCGTTTTGCTGAAATTACGGATATAGCTTTGAATACAGTATAAAATTAAAAAACAAGTTATTAAATATATTTTATTTATTTTATAATTTAATCTTTATTGTAAGTCACCTTAAACTACCCAATGGGGGAACTTAATGCCTTATGGTATTCTTTATTTGTCAGCCGTGGGATAAATTGAAAAATAATAATTTGTTTATCTATATATTTTTTCTACAAAACAATTATATACACAGCTACGTTATAGGCGTAAAGTATACGCCTATAATAAAACTATAATTGAGTGGCTGCGTTTTGATCATATTATGGTGTCAAAGAAGCTTATTGCATTACGAAATTTAAATGTATTTTTATGCCTTTTCAAACATGTGTTGTCAAACAGTTCTTAAAAATTTCCGACCCTTTTAAACAAATGGATTGTTCAGGAAATTCTGAAAAAAATGATGAATATTTTGAAATAGGTGTTAATTGAGCGTAAATTATCAGGCAGAAATAGGTAAGTGGGTGATCAGACAGACTTCTAAGCAGAAAGAAGTCCTACCAAATTGCAAAAGTAGCTATAACTTGTTTTAATACGTAATTTCATAGAATTTCATTTATGTATGTGGTAGCATTTAATCAAATTATTATAAATCCTTGTAGGATAAAAGTGAAAAACCAAACTAGTATTTAATCTTCTGATATTTTTCTTCTAGGTGAAAATAATAGAACAGAATCTGGCCGCTCAAGAGAATATCATCAATAAATTGACGTCATTGTATGCGGCGTATGGGGAGTCGAGACGGTTGCTTTCTGACGTGCTCAGGAAACGGGAAGGCCTTATTAATGGTAAGGCAATTTGGTGTCACAGTTTGATGGATGCTGTACACTAAGCGCTGATTGTAGCAGTCTTTGAAGTTTCTGTTGCGGAACCCTGTCGTCAGCAGTGGACTTGTGATTGACAATAATGATGATAGTTCAAGCAATATTGTAATGCGTGTATATTGTACGTAAGATGAATAGTGCGTAAGATGTGTGAGTGAGGCCTTTAATAAAGTAAAATGTAATTTAACCTCTCAGGCCCCGATATTTTATTGGACAAACTTGGTCAGAACTATGGTCAAACCAAAGACATTTTTTTAAATGATGGTAAATATAAATTAGAGTCATTACTATGTTCTTATCCAAAAAAAAAAATACGAACAATTAAAATATCAAATTATTTGTATGAAGGTCAAGTGAGCGCTAGAGTAACGACGATTGCAAGACTATTTGTCGATAAATGCAATGTTTTGAAAAATTGTCAATTACAGTATAGTGGCGGTGTATGAATATTCATATCATTCCGTGGGATTCGTAAGAGGCGACCGTTCTGTCCCACTGTTCTTGTACGCGTAGTTCGATTTGTTTGGATAAATCAGTGACAGGAGTAACGGAGAAAATTGTACGGTGGCGTCGCGAAGGAACAACGTTATTTTGAAACTTTTTCATCGTGATGTTATTTATCACTCATGTGTAGAGACGACAGAGGGAAATAAATCAGGAGATGAGCAGCAGCGTCTTCTTAATAACGACTGAACTACTAAACGACTAAACTACGAAACTCGTCATTTGAACTAAATTCTCATAATTTAGAGAAGCTTCATTTAGTAACGAAACTAATTCTAATAAAATTTTAGTTGTATAATTCTTATAAATAACATTTAAAAAAGAATTGTTCTGAGCACTCTTAATTATGGTTCTGACTAAACGTAGTATTATCTTTGGTTCTGAGAGGTCCTTTCTAAATATTACCATACTCTTTGGAGCATTCTACAAAGTTGACCTTGGATTGTCTCGTATAAGTCCAGAACTTGACAGATTAAAGTATAGTAGCAAATAAATCACCATACCATTGACAACTTGTTTCTGTGATCAGTCCCTATGAAAAAAGTAAACCAAAACAATAATGATAAAGGTAATGTCCTCCAGACCGAATTTCGGTCACGGTGGCCATTCTCAACGGAGACTAGCCATCGGCGCAGGACAGGATTATAGTGCCCAAGTGTGTGCGCAAGCACAGGTGCACTCTCTATTCCCTCACTCTCATAGTCCGATGCGACGGTAAACCGACACGACCGGAGAGAGATCAGGTGCAGGACCAACGGCTTTACGTGCTTTCCGAGGCACGGGGGTCAGACACCGCCAACTTCCTGACTCGGGGCAGCTACTGATAACTTCTTGATGGAAAAACTCAATAACTGATATTTTTTGGCCCGACCCGGAATTCGAACCCGAGACCTCATGATCAGCAGTCGCACCACTACAACCACTAGACCATCGAAGCAGTAAAGTAAGTAAAGGTACAGATTAATTAAGTGTTGCATTATTATGTCCACCGCTGGGCATGAGTGTTAAGGAAACGTGCTATAACTTTTAACAATATCTAATTTATTGAAATTAGAAACGTACAAATATTTCAGTACACAGTCTGAACTTTAACATCTAAGCTTTTAATATTCAAACAAGTAAAGACGAAAAGGAGGAAGAGGAACAAGAGACTAATAATAAAATTTCTCTGCGTAATAAACATAAAAATGAGGTTATTAGCAGTAGAACCAGAGTGACCGACATAGCCCAACGGATTATTAAGGTGAAGTGGTAATGGGCCGGCCATATAGCTCGATGAACCGACAGTCGATGGGGAAGCAAGGTTCTGGAGTGGCAGCCTCGTACCGGTAGGTGAAGTGTAGGGCGGCCCCCCACTAGATGAAGTGACAACTTAGTAGGACATTCCGGAAGTCTATGGATGCAGGTGGCTCAGGACCGTGCTTTGTGGCATTCTTAGGGGAAGGCCTATATTCAGCAGTGGAGGTAGTTTATCATCATTACAGCCCTTCAAAAGTCCAAGTGAAGGGCCGTAATGATGCTAAACTACCTTATTTGTATAACATCATTCTAATTATAACCTAGTAATAATAGAAACAATTTACTACAAACATTCACAAATTTTTAAATGTAGACCCACGCTAACTAACTTAACTTTATTTTCATCATAAAAGTTTTATTAGTTATTGTTCAATATTAAATTCACAATTTAAAATCCCGTTCACAGTTATTTAATTTGTCTATTTTAGCTTTGGTAACATCATATGACGCCTACGAGGAGTTACTGGGCAAGTCACAGAAGGGCTTGGAGTTTTACAAGAAACTGTCTCACAACGTGAACCAGTTGCTGACGCGCCTACGAAGTACTTGCCAAGTGCAGGAAGAGGAGAGGGCTCAGATGTTGTCCAAGCAGACTAACAAAGGTAAGAATGTCGAAGTCTCACACCCACCATGTAATTGTGGGTAGTTGGTACCATCGTATAGAATTATTACATAAGTTTCGCCTCTGTAGTGTCCATAACTTGGTAGGCTTTTTGTTTAAAGTTATTTTAAATATTTTTATTTAAAAAATATACAAGTGAGATGTGTATTGATTACAAAAGTGTGACATCATTTACTGACACAATTTTCTTAGAAATTTGTTTTATAAGCTCGTCGGCGCCGTGCCGCTAAATGGAAAACCGTCCATTCAAGCCACTAACCGCGTATTTATGCCTCTGCCGTCCGCGTGAAATCACGCGCGCGCCTTTTCATAGAAACCAAGAGTACAAAAAGTTCGCGCTATAATCCTCTCGTTCATATCCTATATATTCCTATCGCATGTTAGATAATAGTAAGATTTTTATTTGATATTGTAAACATTTCAATGTAGACATTTTCATTGCTTAGAAATTATGTAAATTTTGTTAATTTTTTTTATAAAAGCAATCACATTTTGGCAATAAATCATTCTATGTATTGTACTCATTACAAGTTTTTCATTAAAACCCCAACTTGTAAAGTACCAACATCTTTTGTGTTTTTTAAAGACTGCTTTTACCTTTCATTAAGTTAATGTTTCTGTGTTGAAAATATAAGTCGCATATATTTAGTGAATATTTGCACCCAATCATCAATTTGGTTGGTGTTATATGTAAAGTATTAAATCAATGTGTTTCGTTTTCAATATTTAAGTAAGTTCTATGTCTCGCAGCTGCTGTTGTGACTCCAGCAAGCATTGCGTCTGTATCCAAACCGTCAGATGTGGCCCCCATACCTATGAGCACGTCTGCTACACCCAAACTTAAGGACTACCTTCCATATATGAAAAATCGAGGCTTCGGAAGAAGCGTTACTCCTCAAGGTTAGTATCGGACACCTGATATATTGTAACATGTGGTAAAATTAAAAATTTTGTACAACCGACTTCAATATAAATATTGAAGTCGGTTGATGATTTTTTAAAAACTGCTCGACCGATTTCGATAAAATTTAAATGGGACCATCTGGAAAGAATTTTCAAGCTTCTGGACTGGAAAGGATACGGTATTAACATCAACGACAATTACATCACCTTCGATTTGCCGACGATATAATCTTTATTGCAGAATCGCTGGAGGACCTAAGCACTATGCTCAATGAATGCAATAGTGCCTCCCAACGGATAGGTCTTAAGATGAACATGAACAAAATAAAAATCATGTATAACGTCCATGTCATACCTATGCCGGTAGTTGTTGGGAGCACTAAACTTGAAATTGTTGACAAGTATATTTACCTGACACAAATACCTAGTCCGACTAGGTAAGTCGAACTTCGACCGATAGGGCAATCGACGGATTCAACTCGACTGGGCAGCGTTCGGGAAATTACGGCACATTTTCTCGTCAAGTATACCTCAAAACTTGAAAACGAGACTGTACAACCAGTGCGTGTTGCCAGTGATGACTTATGGAACTCAGACGTGGTCCTTCACTGCTGGCCGGATGAGGAAGCTCAAGGTCGCTTAGTGAGCTATGGAGAGGGCTATTTTCGGAGTTTCTCTGCGTGATAAACTTAGAAACCACTGAGTTTATTACTGAGTTTATAGGCCCATCACTAAGTTTTGCCAAAAGTTTTCTTATTCTCACAACTTCTATGTGGAATCAAATTTAATTGTACATAATGTCAAAATAGATAAAATATATAATACATATAATAATATTGTAATCAATTAAAATAAATCTTAAGCCAAGAAGCCATTTATTAATCTCATTTTTAAATTTATTCAAAGGCATTTCTTTTAATTTATTGGGTAATTTATTATATATTTTAATAGCCATCATAGGAGCACTGTTTGCATAAAATCTAGAATTGCATTTGGGATGAAATAATCTATTTTTATGCCTTGTTTGCCTTTCGAGAGATTCAGCGTGGGTTTTGAAATAATTCGGGTGTCGCTTTACAAAAATACATATTTCCCGGATATACATGCATGGCAAAGGCAATACGCGTATCTTTTTGAACAATAGCTTGCAGCTATCAAGAAACCATGCACCACATACAGCTCGCACACATTTCTTTTGTAATTTAAACGCTCTAATCACATCAACAGAATTCCCCCACAAAAGCAGACCATATAATAATACTGAAGACACATAACCGTGATAAGCAGGTAGGGCTGCTTTTTGTGATATTGTTTTTCTCAATCTTTTTAAAGCATATACAAACCGGTTTAATTTTGTACAAACCTGGTCAATGTGAAGCTTCCAATTTAAATTTTTGACAATTTTTATACCTAAAAACATAACTGATTCAACATTTTCTATCTTCGAATTTTCATATTCAGTAAAATGTCCGCTCGGTAATCTTCGTCTGACGTCGCCGCAGGTCGCTCCCTCCTCTCGTTGAGCTCCTCTCACTCTTGCAAACTGATGCTATTATATGTTATCTATCCGCGAACAAATGCATATTCTTACACCGCCTCTACTCGGTCAACGTCACGGTAGTTCAAAGCTGATTACACACAGTCTAGTAAGCTACAAAACTAATAAATAATTAAGAGTTTAGATACAGCTAAATGATTTGTAATAGATTTGAGCGAAACAATTGACTGATTAGTTGCTTATGTTTCTGTTTTAGTTCAAGTTGATCCCGTACCCACAGACACATACTACCCTGAATCAATATACCCGACTTCTGTGAGGCCCGCTCCGGTGGGATCCGAAGGTAAGGCTTTATGTTGACTAAAATATTCTATGTAACGTTATTTATAATGTGTAAAATGGTATAAGAACTAAATTATATGAGTGTACCTTTTCTTGTGTCCGTAAGTTAAAGTAATCATAATGGATAATAATTTATTTTACTTGCTACTTCATTTCCTTAGTATATAATTAAATATATATAGATACATTTTATGAATTTGTTTTAACTATGGATTTTTTTGTTAGATCATAGCCTTATTTTTTGTTACCTTACCTATTTCTACTGCCAAATAGCAGTGCGTGCACTATGTTACTATATATTATGTTCCGGTTAGAAGGGTTTACAGAGCCAGTATAATTAAATGCACAAGCTGTGAGACATTTTATTCCTCAGAGTCATCTCTGCATTTTATAGCCTTCTTTGCTTGAAACGGGTTACAGATGTCCATGGACTGCAGTAACCACTTATAATTAGGTTCTTTCTTAGTTATTTTTTTAAAAGTTACCCCCATACTAGGATTTTCGCCTGTATCGTGGAGGCAGTTGACAAACGTAACTTGCACAAGTACAAACATCCAGACCCGAAACAATTATTTGTAGACCATACAAATACTTGTTCCTGGCGGGATTCGAACCCGTGGCCCCCAGCCACTGCGCCACGAATCCGTCCAACTGGATGTGGGTGAACTATAAGTTCATCTATCACTTTAGTTTTATAAAAAAAATACATGTTTTACCTATATTTCTTTGAATTCTATATACATATAAATGAGCTGTCCGATTATCACATTGATTTTTTTTCAGCCACAGATATGACTCAAATGAATTTACCTGATGGTGTGGTGATGCCGTCGGCAATGCATAATGTACAGAACCCATATAGCCGATATGTGGCTCCGTACGCACCAAGTGAAAGTGAACCATATTACGCCCAGCCTAACTATGCATATCCCGTAGCAAGCAAGCCTAACTTCGACAAACCAAGTGCAGAGGATACACCCCATTACAGTTATACTTCGTATACTCCTCCGCAGTTTTCCAATCAATTGGCCGACCCTCAAACCTATACTAACCCTTATTATTCCGCGACGCAAAACAATTCAACTGTCGTGACCGATTCTCAGAGTTCCGTTCAATATAACAATGCGAGCCAAGCGAATGTGAATCCTAACGTACAGCAGTACAATGTCTACAATGATCCTTACGAGCATGTTAGCCAATCAGGAGCAATGCCCGAAGCGATGTCAATGTACAGCCCCGGGAATCAAGCGGATTTGAATGCTAAGGTCGCCCAGATGCATATCACGGCGCCTAAGTCCGAGTCGACGGAGAACTTTGCCACAGAATACTCTCAGACGTATTATAATATGCAATATCAACATATACCCACAACTAATATGGCAACGTATAGTAATGCTGCACAAGATTCCCAAACAAGTATGGTTTCGTCGCAACTACCCCCCAATTACAGTGTGAACTACCCTCATACTACAGATATCGCAAACCAGTACAATCAAAATATCCAACAAACGAGTATTTCAAACCCGTATAGCAGTCAGTATCAATATACGAGTGCACAGAGCAACGCTCCTCAAGGCTATGTGTACACCAGCGCAGATAGCACCGTCACAGCAACGACTAGTGTCACAAATGTTCCAATAAGTGTTGCCGATCCTTACGGCATCCCTGGGGAAATTAATTCGGACTATGCCAATTCATTGTCTCAGTTCGACGCATTAGACAAACCCATAAAATCACATGTGACTGGCGAAGCGTTATCTACCTTAAATGTACAGCCGGGTTATCAGAATTATAACACCGGTGTTAGTGTTTCAAGTGACCCGAACAATCAGCCAACTAGCACTTATTATCAAAATCAATCATCGGATATGAATTACGCCCAAACCTACCAAAATCATCCAGGTTACACGTATAACGTTTCAACCGGTAATTACGAGTACACTTATGGCTCTCAGAACTCATATGCGAACTACGGTGTTGTCGAGCAATCAAATGTAGACTCTCAGGTGATGGGAAAGAACCCAAATTGGAATCCACAAACCGTTTATAGTAACGCTGGAGCATGTGACACTGTACAATCACCTTCTGAGATTCCACAGCAGCAAGTCCCAGTGGAACAGCCAAGTAACGATCAAACATACTACAACCTTCCTTATGGCTATCAAAACAATCCAACAGTCATTATGAGCCAGCCTAATGTAGCCCCAGAGAGTGTACCACAGAGTATACCCGAAGCTACAAATTATACGGCAGATATGAATCAGTCTACATACATGCAGTCCCATCAAGGTCCGGGCACAAGTGTCACTTACACTAACAACCAAGGTAAGACAATGTAATTTTTTACATAATAAATGAAGTAATTAATGTATTTTTTTTTATTTATTACAATATTGACAAGAGGCTGTTATATTTTGTATAAAATTGGAAATGATTTTATTGTAATACACTATTGTTAGTAATAAAGTTGTTACGAAAAGAATGTGTATTTTATTTACTGAAATTTCTTCCGTTTTAGTGTCGTCGCCTAAAGAGAATACGCAGGCGAATGAACAAAATAATGAAACTAACTATCAGAACACTACACCGGTAAAAACAGGAGAAACCAAAGAATCTGAAACAAAACCTAAAGAAGAAAACGTTCCTGAAGTAAAACCTGAGCCGTCGACATTTGATTTACTGTCCGATATTGATTTCAATGTCGAATACAAACCATTAGTGCCGGAAATAAAAGTGCCACAAGTGTCAGAAAAGGTTGTTATTAAACCAAGTGTTGTGGCCAAACCTGAACCAGTTGTTAAGTCAATGCCAAAGGAAGAGGTGATAGAACGACCTGCGAAACAAGACATATTTTCGGATCCTAGTTTATTGAACATGTTCACGCAGGAAGTGAAGAAATTGCAGCATTTGACGGATTCGTTGACGAATAATACAGCGAGCGGCATAACAGTTTTGGATTCCAAATGGAAGATGTTACAAGATGTGCAGGTGAGTTGATTTTTTATAATAATTGTCACAGAACATAAAAGTAATGTAAAAGAATAAGCACATTAAAATCCGTATAATTTAGTTTCAATCAAATATACAGCATTCATTTAAATATAAGCAACAGTATTGAATATTATTTGTTCACTATTGTAAACATACGTGCGATAAGTACTTACTATACGTGCTACGGCCAAACTTTTCACTGTCACAAGACAAAGGCTGGACTATGGTTGAAGGCACTTTACGTTGGACAATCGAGAAAAGTCATTTTTGTAAATTTTCCTGTTTTATGTTAATATTAATTTGTTTTCTATATGCAGTAAAATGATGATAAAATGTTTGATACATTATTGGATTTTTCTTTTTATTTTAGAGTTACATAAACCTAATGAATTTTTACGTGGTAGAGTCATGCTGCAGCTATATTATGGTTGTAGCACGAATGGGTCGGCTCGACCGGGGATGGACCACGCTCTCACAGAATACCAGCGTAAAATGGCAGCTTAACGCTGCTTTGTCTCGTATGGTGAGTGTAGAGATCCGGAGATCCTTTTTACTGGAAACGAGGCATACCATCTTAGTCCTCACAGGTGACAACGCATATGCATTTTGATTAGTAATCGAAGCTAGATGTAGATGTCTATGGACCACAGCATCCACTTACCATCAGGTGGACTGTGTGCTCGTTCGTCACCCTTATCCTATAAAAAAAGAGTTTTGAGTCCATGTCATAAGTTTGTATGATATTTTTTGCCTTGAAAATGTTTTCCTTTTGGAAGATAAAACTCACACAAAATATTTTTGTTTAGATGAAGGAGAATATGAGTAGAACAAAAACAGTTGCTATGCGGCACTCATATGGCAATATTGCGTCTGAAGTAGCGCCTTTCGACGACTCGAGGGTTGTTCTTAAATCTGATCCAGACGCATACATAAATGCTTCTTATTATAAGGTAATTAAGAGTCATTATCTCATTTTTAGAGTTCAGTACTGATTAACGTATGGTTGCGGTATAAAATAGTCTTTCATCTCAGCTCGTATGGTTTTGTAAGATACTACTATGGGACATTGCAAGATCTCATAATCTCTGATACAGGCACTTAGCTGCTTAAGCAATTTGCCCACATGCAAAGCAGTATTAACAAGTGAAATTCAGTTCGATTCGATTATTAATTGTGACTATTACGCCAAATCCTCCCTACTACTACTATCATAGGAGAGTTGAATGTTGTTAATTGTAACAAGTATATAAACCATTTGATTAATTTTAATGTCAATGTGATAAACAAGGCGATTTAAACCCTAAAATTCTACCGCTAAAACTTAATCTGATACGAAAGGTAAGGATAGGTAAAAACACTTATTACAATCAGGAGAAATCCACTTAGTTCGATCTTTCATAATAGTAACAAACGTGCTAACTTGTTTTGATGCTAAGTGCCTACTGCAGTCCATGGATACCTGCATTCACAAGGTCACAGATACATTGTCATCCCTAAGGATGAGATGAAATGCGTTGCAACCTGTAATTATACTGTTTCTCTAACCCTTCTACCCGGGACACATCGGTAGATATGCTGCTTGGAGGCGCAAATAGGCAAGAGGTGATGATGGAATTCATCTTGGTTGGGATCATGAGATGATACCAACCCATATGAATGCCTAGGCGAAAAAGGTGCCACTAATTTAATTAGCCATTATAATAATTCTATAATTTTTAGGACTATCAATTACATTTTTTTTCAGCAATTGGCACCGTGGTGTATACCCCTGATGATATCGAAATGCCCCTCTGAAAACGAATTTGGAACATTCTGGAAGGCAATCCTAGAATATAAAATCAGCTGCATTGTTTGCTTGCTGAGTGAAATTGAGGTATGTTTTTTTGTTTTATATTAATATTAACCAAGAAAGCAAAAAGTAATATGACCCTTTTGACCCAATTCGGTATGGGTTGTTTTTTGTTTTGCTTTTATATTGTCGTATAAAGCTTATAAAACAATGAACGGAAATAGAATACATGATATTTTGCACAAAATACGAGTCAAATAAAAATAAATTAGCCGTTTTAAGTCTTATTATAGTTCAAGTAAATCGGTTTATAGATTTTCTAAATTCTCATTTGACCTTTGAAAATTATATTTTAAACTGTTTCGCTCTAAAATCATTCGCTTCCATTAAGATTTAAAGTTCCTGGAGAAGGACCATCTTCTTTTTCAAAATAATAACTTATGAAATATTAAATTTTTAATTATAGATGCAAGGCAAGTCATACTGGCCAACAGCAAAGGGTCAGTCTTTGGATCTGCCTGGAGTCAAAGTTAGCCTTGAGGAAGTTACCTGCACAGTTCATTGGACTGAAAGAAAGCTTACCGTGTCAAGTGGGAAGACTGTCCTCAATGTCACTCACTACCAGATTAACGTATTTCCAGCCAAGTAAGAACAACTTATTATTTAAAAATTATAGTTAAATTATGACCACTACTTGCCGTGTGGTTGCAGAGTGGCGAAAGAGAATTTACTACTCTGTGGCCATGAAGAAAAAGGGGAGATCTCCCGCCGGACAAGGTGTTCTGCCTGGGGAGCGGCCAACGCTCCGAGTGGTAGTTCGGAGCTATTCTATACACTCATACTGCTTTTACTTCGGAACTTTGATGTATTTCGCTTGTGGCGCAACGACAGCGCCGCCACACACACACACACATATATATATATATAATATATATATAATATATATATATATATAATATATATATAATATATATATTATACATATATATATATATATATATATATATATATATATATATATATATATATGTATATGTATATATATATATACGTCGCGCCACAACATATACAGCTCGTGGATGTTGTAATAGTCGACGGAAGGAATTTAAGGCTAACTGATCCTTAGCTGCCGATACATGACGGTATAACTATTTTTTATATTATGCTGTATACTCAGACTGTTGAGGGTGATTTGTGTTAAAGCGGGATGAAGACATCCTTGTCATAAAACTCTCTCGGAAATGAGAGGAGGCCTACGCCCAGGAGTGGGACTTACATAGGATGTAACTTAAACGCTTTTTTGATTTATACCAAAATAGAGAACTTTGAAACAAATGGTTTGAAATAAGAACTACTTCAGAAACAAAATCTAATTTAAGAGGATTGTGAAGCTGTAAATTATAAATAAATATATATCCCTTGGAAATGTAGATGTAATAAAAAGCTAGGTCCTAGGTGTAATAAAAAAGTAGGTAGGTTTTTATTTTAAAGAAATATTGCGTACGATACTTAAAAACTTTCTCGAGCGTTTTTTTTTCTTACGGAGGGAAAAATTTAAAAAATTGCCTGAAACAGTCTAAAAACAACACTTTTCTATATTCCCATACAAAAGATTCGTAATAATACTTAAAAGTCAATTTGAACTTTAATACCATACCATAAAGTTTAAATGTCAGTGGAGGGGTTCCGGGAAGGCAAAACTATTGAGTGACGTTAGTATCGTATAAATATTAATGTCAATATTTATACACACTGGCAGATAGCTTATCTTATAAGGAGTAACTTGGGCTGCTTTTATTTTAGGGTTCCGCAAAAAATAACTCCACGCGGGCGAAGTTACGGGGAACAGCTAGTTAAAAATAAAAAACCAAACTATAAATTAAAAAAAGAGGTATTAAGTATAAAAAATTAAAGATTAATTCACTGACGCATGTGTTGTGTATTAATATAGCACTCTAGAAACTGATAAACTATCATATATAAGTAATTTCTCAATTAAGTGACTTGTGTAACAGAAAATTTTACTTCAGTCACAACTAACGACATCTTGTGAGTGGAAGATTATTATCCCTCTTTGCCGCCAAGACTAACAATTCTAGCGCACGATACGGCGATACAGAACAAGCGGTATGAAACAGATAGCATTTTTGAAAATACTTACTCACGCTGCGTATTGGCACTTCAACACAATCCTCTTAATTAAATTGTCACCAATGTTTTGTATCCCTCTATCCTAATTATAACACTATTTTTGTGTGTTAATCAAAATAATTAACATTCAAAATGTAAAAACAACATGCCAAATAGTTGTTGATTTTACTTCAGTTGTAACAAAACAAATATTAATCATTCTATCAATTATATTGATAGAGATCTACAATTCGAATTGTAATTTGCGGCCGAAAATAGAAACCGAATTTTAGTTAAAGATAGTATTTATTTATTTTTATATATTATATTATTTAAAACATAAAATAATTTAGCTAACATATCTAAATTTATATTATTGTATGTACATATAAACTTGTTTGTTGAAACAAGCAAGTAACGATTACATAAAAGAATTTAACAAATCATTTTGTAATGTAATGAAAAGAAATATACTTAAGTATACTCAGATATATAAAAAAAATACTTAAGTACGGTCCGCGCATTCTCTGTCTTTGTCGGGCTCAAGTTAGTCGCGAGTGGCTGCGCAGATATAGTTTTTAGGAACAAAATGGTGACAAGAGGAGTGAGAGAGTGGGCGGTAACTAAGACTAAGACATTCGAATACGCGTATTGCGCGGTTACAATTGCGTAAATAAACGATTAGCCTCGGTATTATCGGTTATGATTCGATTTTATTTTAAATTTTTATAGCATTTGAGGTGTGTAAATGCAACAGGTCGTCTTAAATACAGTGATTATAATGATATGCATTAAAAATTTTATTGAAAATTTTAAAGTTATATTATTTTGGGGTTACTGAAAGAATTTGTAGTCCCCGCTAATATCATGTATTTACTATATATTCAAACTTTTTATCGTAAGTCTTTATTAGATACTATTGTTTTGTTGAAATACATAAAGATATTTTTGGTATAATAATAATTATCAAATTATTCTATAATTGATATAGACAAAACTGTTTCCCCAAGCAATCCTAGGAGCGAATATGAATTAGCACATCTCTATCGACTAGCGCCTGTACATGCGCGAAGGTCTCGGAAAGTCAACTTGAGCCCGGCTAAGTTAGAATGCTCGGACTTTAATTAAATTTTAAATAACTATGGCTGTCTGTCTGTGTCAGAATCGTATGCTCGCCGTTGGTGCTGTTGTGCGACCGTGTGCTCGCGAGCACGTACACCGGGCGACTGAGCAACCAGTTGCGCGGCGCGTGCGTGCAGTGCGGCGGCGGCGCGGGGCGCAGTGCACTTGTGGCGCTACTGCTCGTGGCCATGTGTCAGGCGCGCGCCGGCGATGTGCGCCTGTGCGGTGAGTGTGTAGCGTGCGGTGAGTGTGTAGCGTGCGGTGAGTGTGTAGCGTGCGGTGAGTGTGTAGCGTGCGGTGAGTGTGTAGCGTGCGGTGAGTGTGTAGCGTGCGGTGAGTGTGTAGCGTGCGGTGAGTGTGTAGCGTGCGGTGAGTGTGTAGCGTGCGGTGAGTGTGTAGCGTGCGGTGAGTGTGTAGCGTGCGGTGAGTGTGTAGCGTGCGATGAGTGTGTAGCGTGTGGTGTGTGTGTGTGTGTGTAACGTGCGTGTGCATACAGTGCGGCAACACTGCTGCTCGTGGCTATGTGCCAGACGCACGCCGACCACATGCGCCTGTGCGGTGAGTGACATGTGGCGGTGCGGTGAGTGAGATTTGTGTGCGCATGTGGTGAGTGTACCGTGTGCGATCTTTTTCGATAGCGGTGAAATTAGTGTGTAGCATGCGGTGAGTGTGACGTGCGTTGAGTGTGAGTGTGAGGTGCACGGTGAGATGAGTGTGACACGTATTGTAAAATGAGTGTGTTACGTGTGGTGAGGTGTTTCATGTGCGATATGTGTACTGGGCTGCAGTGAGTGTACTGCATGCCGTGAATCTGCCGCGTAAGGTGAATATGTCGCATGCATTGATACTGATGCTAATGGCCAAGTTATATTTGGAATCTTCTCAACATTGTAAATCTTTATTATTTATATAAAATGTCTTACTTTATTAATGCTTACACGCTTGAATTCTAACTTACGGATTTACCGCAACCGAAATATTTTAAACGAACATTGTTTTGTACAAAAGGCAGTAGTAAATTATAAACCTAGTGTCATTTTATAGTCATGAGAAAATTAAAAATAATCAGACTAAATATTTCTCTGTAAGTTGAAAACATATTTTATATTTACTAAAAAGTAATAAAATGTTTATTCGGACAGCACAAAGAGACAAAGCATAAAGCACGCCTTTTCACCTAAAAGTTCGTTTATCGCCACTTTGCATTCCATTCATTTTTACCTCTTTTTAGACATGCTCGACGCGGCTTGCATCAACTTATACAAGCATCGAACTAACGTGCTTGAAGACCCCAAATACTTAGTGGACGCGTACAGAACAGTTTTGTTCTACGTACAAGGCGTGCTGTGTTCTGGTAAGTAAAACATGTAAACTGATACTACTAAATCCTAGATTTTAGGTTCATAGTTTTCAGGTTCTGTGCCTTATTGTGTAACTCACCACTATAGTTTTTGCATTTCAATGGTGACGCTTTCGATTAGAGCGTTTTTTCATTGGCCGACAAGATAACGGGATACCTTCGCTAATACAGGCACCGATATAGGAGGACTGAAAACTGAGCGACTTACTACGCTATTTCATTGAAAGACACGACACCGATTATCGCCGTCGACCGGTTATCGGCGACGACAAAAACTCGTTACCACGTCCGTTTTCCACAGAATCGTCCCGATGAAATCAAGAATATGTGACCTCTATTGAAGCGAATAACGTGCGTGCTATTTGTTTATATTGATCTTTATTTAGTAATATAAATTTGATATACATAAATAATTAATCTACGTTTAAAACTAGTAAATGTATAATTAATCTACAATGTTTGTTTAATATTTATTAACACATTAGCGATCCGCTCCGGCTTCGCACGGGTTATTTCTGAATCTCGACAACAGAGCCACCTACCGCGTCCAATTGTAAATTCAAACCATGCAGGGACCCACTGAAATACACACAAAGAAATTCATCAGAATCGATCGAGCCAGTTTTAACGAGACTAACAGACAGCAATTGATTTTTATATATTATAGAGATGAACATCAAAAATTGTCGAAAAATTTAAAATTTGATTGGATCTTACACTTAATATTATAAAGAGGAAAGATTTGTTTGTTTGTTTGAATTGAATAGGCTCCGAAACTACTGGACCGATTTGAAAAATTCTTTCACCATTAGAATCCTACATTATCCCTGATGAACATAGGCTATATAAAATTTTCAAAAAAGTTAGGGATCCGTATGAAAACTTCGTTAATGTAGCCCAAGGTGTGAAAAAAATACCAAAAGGAATCCTTATATCGCGTACGCTGCGGAAAGTATTGATAATAGAGCAAAGTAATGTATTTTAGTTTTCAGAGGATATCAATATCTACAAAAAAGCCTGCGATACCATATGTTTAACTATTACAGTTATGTCACAATAACTACTTTTTCATGTTAAAATATGAAATAGTAACGCCGGTACAAACTAGCCCACTTTATTCGTATCAGTAGATATCTGTACCATGCATAACCACCAATTATGTTAACCATGTAATTTTAGTAACATATTTCACTTTTGAAATCTTTTTTAATTCAGCAACCGTCCGTCTTGATGTCTCTCTCGAAGTTCCGCATGTCGCAAGGCGTAGACGCGTGATATACGCGGGTGAAACCGCGGGGCACAGCTAGTGTATAATAAGCAACTTCAACGTGTCTCACTTTAACTATCGTGATGACATATTATGTAAAGCAGATTAATAAATATTAATTGTTGCCTGTCATAATATTGAATAAATACAATATGACAATCTGTTAACAATGGGTTAGCCTAGATGACATTGTACGATCGTTAACGCAATAGAAAACTATAAAAAGAAATGGGAATGACTAACTGAACATTTGATTTTCTTCATTTTTAAAGTTATCTACAGCGTTAATGACCGTAGAATGTAATATTGGCTAACCCCGCTGGTAATAAAAATAATGGTGATGTAATAATCAAGTTTTCTATCCGCGTTGAGGCTTGAGATACTATCGTCAACAACTGCCCGCTAGATAAGACTGACGTCAAAATCTCCCAATAACTTTGCGATGTGATGTATCAACATATTGTGAAGAATTTAAAAAATAAAATTCACATTAGACCTGCCGGGCTATTCACAATAGTCTCGGAAAGCGAAATCGACTCTGATTCGATAACTTCTCGCACCGAAACTAATAAACGCTATTCACATTTAACGTTCGGATAAAGGTCACTTAGATACATCCCATAACTATTGTATCGTCATTTAGTTACATGCATTTACAAATTTTGTAGATAAATAGGCATTTTGTATGTTTTTGAGTAACGCTTGAACAAAAACATAAGGCAATATTTTGGTGTTAGCCATTGATATCGAATATAAAAAATATATAATTTAACTTTATAATAAATAACAAAGAAAACTGAGATATGTCTCGTTTCTGTCGGGTCTGGGTTTTTTTCTATGGGGCGTGACCGTATTTCTTTGACGTTTGTTTTCGATAATTGTGACAGTTTGCCCCGGAAACTTCACGAGAGCTCTGAGGCTGGCGAAAACTTGAATATTGATCATTAGAAGAGATAAATAAACCCTTTTAATTATAGGGTAGGTAACAAAAATTAATTACAATTATCTATAGGACGTATTTTCATATAATTACTTCAATAATTGCACTTAATCGTAAAGCTGAATTTTAATAATAATAAAATATAAATAAAGTTGCTAAATGTATGTTCATAACTGCTTATATATATGGGTTATATATATATATATATATATATATATGCTGCTTAATTTTTTTGTTATTTATTATATAGTTAAATTATAAATTTTTTGTATTCGATATCAATGGCTAACACCAAAATATTGCCTTATGTTTTTGTTCAGGCGTTACTCTAAAAAAATACGAAATGCCTATTTATCTACATAATTCGTAAATGCATGTAACTAAATGACGATACAATAGTTATGGGATGTACATATATCTAAGTGACCTTTATCCGAACGTTAAATGTGAATAGCGTTTATTGGTTTCGGTGCAAGAAGTTATCGAATCCGAGTCGATTTCGCTTTCCGAGACGATTGTGAATAACCCGGCTGGTCGTATCGGTCCCGTATCGTTGAATGAAAAAGCTTCTAGATAATATCGGTGTCGGTGAGGTATGTCGGTGTCGATGTATCGTTGTCGGTATCGGGCAATGGAAAAACACCCTTATATTTTTTTATATAAATACGAGTACATATAGTATTTTCGAGGTTAACATTATACCATTATTTTTTGAGCCTTTAATTATTAGTCTCACGCCAGGCTTTTTTGAATATTTTATTATATTTATATATTAATATATAGTAGAATATAATGCGTCGTAGTTTTGCCTACTATTTTTAGGTTTCTGCCACCCGCAAGACACATTTTCGCAAGCATCGACAATTAGCAAGTCTTTCCATCTATTTATATGTATATATTTGAATAAAAAAACAATATATGAATATATTTTTCATACTTATCCCTGCCATTGGCATTCTTGCACGGGACCATGCCCCACCTAGACCCAACTTGCTACGCCTCTGTAAGGATCCGTAATATAAATACTATATTATATATTTATAGTATCAACCAGTAGAGTTTGGCAACCCTAAGTTCGGTGAACCTATTTTTCATACTGAGAAATCTCATGATATTCGTCCAAAATGGATGACGTTGCAATTATACATATAATATGTTGTCTTAAGTTTCTACATCATCACTTGTCTTTGGTATATTGAGAATCTTATAAAACTGCGTGGTCGACAGAATGCACTACTAAATCGCATGTCCTGCGTCCTGCCCTTTTATGCGGATCCAATATTTGGTGTAAACAGTAAAAAAATATAAAGGTACACTCTATAATATAGGAAGGTATGCTGTATGGTAACGGAGGCATGTATGCTGTAGCTTTACTTTACTAACGGGCACAGGTCTTCTCTTATTTTTGAGAGGGTTATCGAGCAGTTACCTCACTGCGCTGCTACGGTGCACGTTTTTTCTTAAAGAATAAGGGTGACATACGAGCACTCAGTCCATCTGATGATAAGTGGATGCTGTGGCCAATAGACATCTACATTTATCTCTAATTATGAATAAAAACGCAGATGAGTTGCTACCCCTGAGGACAAAGATGGAATGCCAAGTTTTCAGTAAATAGAGTCATACTGGCCCTCGAAATGTATTTTTTATTCCTCAGACATGTAGGTTTCCTCACGATGTTTCCCTCCACCGCAGAGCATATTGTAAATCAGCACTTAAAATTGCCCGGGTTATTAACTTACTGTAAAATTTAGGTTGAGCGCTTATCGCCTTTGAGGTACAAGAGATATTCAACATTTTGTGCAATAAACACAAGTTGCAGGGTTACGGGTCTGTACCCTAACTCAAGCAAGGTAAGTTTAGTACAAGTGGGTGCTTTTGTAGATCTATAGAGTACCTCTTGCGTAGTTTACAATAAATAAAAATAATAGCTTTTGATAACTACCTCAAGTTGTCGCCGTGATCGAAATCTGTCAAAAGGTCATCATAATTTATTGCAGCATAAACGTAAATACACTTATAACACCGAGCGCTGCGTGTAAGTATTGTTGTTGAAACAAAAACAAATGGATCAAAACATTGATTGCTAATTTGTTTTGTACATATTATATTATAAATAAATATACAACCTAATGGGTATTTCACTCATTACCATTTGTCAGTCAACACTTTTTATTAATAATATTATGATTCATTGCGCTTGTTTATATTTTATGATAGAATATTGTAAAATAGTAATATTGTATTAATTTCTTGGAAAGTTAAATGAAATAATCTAATTTTAAGTAAACAAAGGGTGGACTAATGCCACCAACAAATGGCACAGTGAAATTTATTTATTTATTGTCTTGTTTTTGTCTTTTAATTCTTCTTTCATGTTATTTTTAATGGTAGATATTTTCTGTTAATTACTTGTTTGTAATTTATTCAATCCCAATTTTTTGTATGGAACATTATTTAAGCTATTTGTAATGAATTTGATAATACTTCTAAAACATTATCTTTGCACAGTTGGAAAGCATTCAATGAATGGGCGACAGTAGGAGTTCATAAGAGCAGACAAAGGTTATAATTAACTTTACCGTACCGACTAGGCGGGGCAGTGCCCCGGGGCCCCCAAGCTCAAAGGGCCCTTTATTTTTTACTAGCATCTAAAATTATCCTACGGGATCCTTTTATCGGGATAAAGGTATCCTATTTCTTAGGTCAAGTTCTATCAGTGTGCAAAATTTCATCCCAATCCATCTATTAGCTTTCGTGAAAACGTAACAAACAAACAAACTTTAACATTTATAACATTGTTAGGAAGAACGATTTAATATTATCTGGCTACGTTACACATAATACTTAGTAGCAAGTAGCTTTACTTTATGTTTTGCAGTGGGCGACAGGCGTGAATGTTTGTATTTGTATTGTATGTATGATGAAGTAAATAATGCTATATTTAAATTAGTAAATTGGTTTAATGTTAATAATTTGCAATTTAATGGCATTAAAATGAAATGTATAAGATTCATGACTCCAAATGTCAAACATTTAAATACTAATATAATTTTAAATGGGGAGGAACTGAGTCTTGCCGATACCACAATTTTTCTTGAAACCACACTAGACGCTTCAATGGAGCCCCTATATATCAAAATTAGCAAGTAGACAGCATGTGCTGTAAAAATATTAGAAATCGTATCAGTGTTGAAACAGCTAGACTTGTTTACTTTAGCTATTTCCATAGCATAATGTCGTATAGTATTTTATTATGGGGACACGTGACTGACACTGAAATTATATTTGTTTTGCAGAAGAGGGCCATAAGAGCAATTTATAATTTAAAGCCTAAAGAGTCGCTCCGACAAAAATTTAAGGAAATTATTATATTAACTTAGACCTCTCAATACATTTATGAAAATGTAATGTACGTACACAAAAATAAAATAGTTATACAAAAATAAGTGATATCCTTTCTGTAAATACTAGGAACAGACACAAGCTAGTAGTACCTGTTACTCGACTCCATCGAGTCAGTAATTCATTCTTAGGGCGACTCATACGCTTTTACAACAAAATCCCAGAAAACACAAAATTTGACCTGCTCAAAGTTCAAAAACTTTACTAAACTAAGTTTGTATAAAAAGGGTTATTATAATATTAAGGAATTTATGGATGATAATAACCCTTGGGAATGAGGTGATCGCTACCAGACTATTTCTAATTTGTTTTGTGTTATTAATTGTGTAACATATATGATTGTAGGTAAGCTATTAGTTTTTTTAATAGTTCCGCTGGGTTTCTTGTTGGTTCTTCCCAGGACAGAGGTTTTTTTTTCGAACCAGTGATAATTTAAACATGCTGTAAGAGTGACTTTCAATAAGCGACCCCTGTCACGCTGTCGGGGGACTTCACTCGAAACGCCATCCATTACCATCTCGAGACGGCGAAGCCGGCCTTGCTCTTTATGACCGAGACGCAGCTGTCCTCTCCGGCTGATACTTCGTATCTCTCCTACCCGAGGTACAAATTGGAGCACTCGGGCTGGAGTTTGCGTATACGTCAGAGAGGACATCTGTTCTCGACGCCTCGGCAGTCTTGAAGGTTCGGACCTGTTCATCCTTTGGCTACGCGTAGACAGCCACGACCATCCGCGTGTCTACGGGTGCCTCTATAGGCCCCATAGCGGTAATGCCGAAACAGACCGACTCATCGACCACGTCCAAATGGTTACAGATTCCTTGCTACAACAGGTCCCATCCACATAGATCGTGATCCTTGGCGATTTTACCGCCCACCACGCCGAATGGCTCGGTTCACGTTTAACCGATCATCCGGGGAGATCTGTTTATGACTTTGCCTTGGCATATGGCTTGACACAACTGTTTTCTTCGCTCAAGCGGATTCCAGATGTGGAGGATCATACACCTTCCATGTTGGACCTTATGCTGACCTCTCATCCGGACGGATATCAGGTTTCTGTCGATGCCCCTCTCGGCTCTTCGGACCATTGTCTGATCCGGAGTGTGGTGCCACTCACGCTCCCCTCGCGGTTGCGTTCTGCAGGTTGCCGCTGTGTTTGGCATTACAGGTCGGCGGATTGGAACGGAATGCGGTCTTTCTTGGCATCCCACCCATGGGGGCGGGTTTGCTTCTCGCCGGATGATCCCAGCATTGTTGCTGACTCTGTCTGTGTGGTGCTACAGGGAATGGAACTACTAATTCCATCATCTATGGTACCCATTGGAGGCAGATCTCAGCCTTGGCTTGGTCTCTCCTTTAAGACTGCATTACGCAGTAAGCAGGAGTGTTATCATGTCCGGGATGCGGCTTCGGCGACTCGGGATGTAAACACCAGTATGCTTAGAGAGAAGTATAACTCGCCTCCAGGTCCTACAAAAGATTTATTGCCAAGGCAAAGTCAGAGCACATAGGCAGAATTGGCGAGAAACTAGTTCGCCTTCCTTCGGGAACCCGTGCATTCTGGTCTCTCGCCAAGGCTGTCCAAGGGAATTTCTGTAAACCATCACTATCATCTCTGCACAAGGAGGACGACTAACTGGCCCACGCCGCAAAAGAGAAAGCCGACCTTTTAGGCTCCCTTTTTGCGTCCAACTCGACTGTTGATGACGGGGGGAACACACCGCCGACCATCCCTCGGTGTCAGTGCTCAGTGTCAGTGGATTCACTCCTCTATCTGGACATCCACAAGTCGTGGGCCTGACGGAATCTATCCAATTGTGTTGAGAACGTGTGCTCCGGAGTTGGTACCGGTTCTAACGCGTCTTTTCCGGTACTTCTACTCCCTAGGCGTAGTCCCGAAATCATGAAAGATAGCTTTTGTCCACCCGATCCCTAAAAAAGGCGACAGCTCAGACCCGTCCAACTACAGGCCTATCGCCATCACCTCCTTGTTCTCCAAAATAATGGAATCCATTATTAACTGCCAGCTCATGCGGTACCTTGAGAATCACCAGCTGATTAGTGACCGCCAATACGGTTTTCATCGGGATCGATCAGCTGGTGATCTTCTGGTCTACCTGACTCATACATGGGCGGAGGCAGTAAAGTCCAAGGAGGCGTTGGCCGTTAGTTTGGACATTGCCTTCGATCGGGTTTGGCACAAAGCGCTTCTTTCGAAGCTCCCTTCCGATGGGCTCCCGAGAAATTGTGCAATTGGATAACCAGCTTCCTTGCAGATCGGAGCATCAAGGTCGTTGTAGACGGTGCATGCTCCGACTACAAGCCTATAAACCGCGGTGTTCCACAAGGCTGTGTGCTATCACCAACGCTGTTTCTTCTGCATATCAATGATATGTTGCAAACTGGTAACATTCATTGCTATGCGGCAAAATGTCACTGGTGATGCTCTGCACACCGGCCGTGCCAATATTTCTCGGGGAAACGTCGCCGAGTATCGGAACAAACTTGTGTCTGAAGTCGAGTCTTTGCTGAATTAAGTCTCGGATTGGGGGCGACTAAATCTAGTCCAATTTAATCCTCAGAAGACACAAGTTTGCGCGTTTACCGCTAAAAAGAACCCCTTTGTCATATCTCCTCATTTTCAAGGCACTTCCCTTGTTGCCTCAGCCAGTATCGGTATCCTCGGAGTCGACATATCGAGTGACGTGCAGTTTCGCGGTCACTTGGAAGAGATGGTCAAATTTGCCTCTAAAAAGCTTGACGTGCTCAGCAGAGCGGGACAGTGTTCCATGCAGGCACACCGCCTGCAACTTTACAAGGTGCAAGTTCGGCCTCACATGGAATACTGTTTCCATCTCTGGGCAGGGGCTCCCCAGTGCCAGCTCCTTCCACTTAACGGCATCCAGCGCAGAGTGGCTCGAATCGTCGTCGACCGAGTCCTTTTCGATCGGCTCGATTCATTGGCACTGCGAAGAGATGTTGCATCCCTTTGCATTTTCTTTCGCATTTACCACGGGGAGTACTCTGAGGAATTGTTCGGATTAATCCCAGCCGCCAAATTTCACGAACGCACATCGCGACAGAACTCCCGATACCATCCACATTCCACACCATCTGGATGATTGGCGGTCCACCACTGTGCGATTTAGAAGATGTTTTCTTCCTCGCACAACTTCCTTGTGGAATCGATTACTATCAGCGATTTTTCCGGACTGATACGACTTAAGGTCCTTCAAGAAAAGAGCCTACTCGTTTTTAAAAGGCCGGCAACGCATCTGCAATTTCCCTAGTTCCCCTGGTGTTGCAGTTGGTCATGGGCGGCGATAGTCACTTACCATCAGGTGAACCTCATGCTCGTTTGCCTCCCTCTCCTATAAAAAAGTATTATTTATAATTTTCTGTTTCTGTTTCTGTAATGCTGTGTGGTGACTTCGTAAGGGTATCTATCATCACTTTTCTCAATCTCGCTGGATTTTTCTGATGGTTTTACCCAGGGCAGAGGTATTTTTCAAACCAATGCTAAATCTATACAAACAAATAAAATTGAAGTGTCTGTTTGTAATGTCAAAATAACGGCTTTTTACTAAATGCATAAGATAGTATACGGTACTTATAACAAAAACACAATTTTTAAAATATTTGTCTGTCTGTATGTCTGTCTATTTGTTCTGGCTAATCTCTGAAACGGCCAGACCTATTTTTACGAGATTTACGGACACTTTTAATGAAAACAATAAACAACGATGTGCTGCGATGGTATTTGTCTTATTCCTGTAGAATGACGAGCAGTGACGAGCAGAAGCGCATAAGTACTTTTGCCTTCTTATTTTTCATAGGCGCTTCAACAAACTTATAACGGTGTACGTCACCGGTATGCATAATATCAAGACTTTTCGCAGACCCCAGCGAATTGCTGCTTTTGTATTATTATTTAAATAATAATTATTTTTATTGGATTTAAATTTGTAAAAGTGGTTCGACAATGTACCAAAAACTTCGCAATTTGACACATCATCACACTATGGGAAGAATTTTGTTGACAAATTAAAATTACATATCAAAATAGACTGTATGTGCGTAGATATCTTTGTTTTAAGTAACTTGACAACAATATTATGAACAATAAAAATTCGGCGATCACGACGACAACTTCTGGGTAATGTCGGAAGAAGTTAAAGGAAGTACATCGGCTATAAACAAATAGCCGACGTACTACTTTTTAGGGATTATTCTGCTAATCTGCTATAAAGTTCGTCCAATCAACGAAATTATGTTTTACCCCACCAGGTACAACAATGTTCAATGGTGAAGCTGTATCGTTACAAAGCGGCGCGAGCGTGCTGCCGCGGACGCCGGCGAGTGCGAGGGCAACTCCGGCCACCGCTGCAACTCCGGCCACCGATGCAACTACTGCCTCTACGGCCACATCTCGCGCTCATAAGTTCTCCCGGGAGTCCTTCGAGGAGATGCGACAGTTACCAGGCCTCAAAAGCGGCGATATGAAAGACCCGCTCAACTTCCTAGACCCACTGTGGAGTCTTAAGAAAAAATAAGTCTGTCAATAAATATGTAATCAATTAGACTGATGTTATCTGTTTGTTTAAAACATAAACATAAAACATAAACACTCACGCCTGTCACCCAGAGGGGTAGGCAGAGATTATGGACTTCCATTTGGCACGATCCTGACACACCTCTCTCGCTTCCTCCACATCCATATACATACGCATACACGCTCTGTTTGTTTACTCATGAATATTTGTGGATATTTTAATATATATATAGCCTTATCATATACCAAGCAGCTAGTAGTTAGCCAAGAGGCTGCTAATAAACATGATTCACTCTTATATAATATATTTCATGATAATAACAGTAGATGGTACGTATTATATAGCATTTTAACGCGACATTTCATTCGAATTTTAAAAATATGTTGAAAACAAAAAGTTTTGGGGTCATATTTGTATATAGAATAATTTCTATCAATATTATTATTATTCCTTTTAAAAGAGCCGCAATAAAAAATTGTCGCTATATAAAATTATATTGTTAGCCGCCACTATTATTTATATAGGTATGGAGAAAAATTGTTTGTTGATTAAAATATATTGTATTTATTTAAACAACATTCAATATTTTAATAATTTCATAATGTGTTAATTAATAAAAATATTTTTAAAATAATAATTTGTGAATTGGAATTAAAATATTAACGTAGATAGATGTGTTGTGATCTTAGCCTCCATTTTGGAAATTTTCATTTCATACATAGCTTTCGGCAAAACGGTTGACGCGTCAGCGGAAATGACATAAAGTTTGAAATGTTTAATACTTATTACCTTCGAAGGACAAGTTGTCCAGAAGTATTGACTGAGAGAGACTGCAAATAAGGTAAGGTTAGGATTAGGGGTAAGATTCATTTTGACAGTATTCCTCAGACCATAATAGAAAGATAGAAGGAGTGCTGCATACATTTCATGTGACGCCGAAACCATGTTCAACTTCTTGACACGCACTCGTGCGTGCATATCACGTGAAATGTACGCAGCACTCCGTCCTTTTCTCTTGGTCTGAGCAGTGTTCGAAAAGCAAAATTGATTGTATTATTAATACAAAATACAAACAAAACAAAATTGTATTTGATTGATTTTGTTTTCTGTAATCCAAAGTATTAAATAGTAAAGACCAATCTCATGTAAACAAAAAGTTATAAGTATCTACCGATTATATTTAGACTCCTCATCATCCAGGGGTCCAGAAAAATGTTATAATACGAAATGCTTCTGTGTACTTCTAAATAGTGTCAAGGAGATTTAATGTGATTGTGAGATATGATAAAAAATGTTTAAAAGTTATATTACTATACAAAAAACATCGTAGCATTGTATCATATTTTTTTTCATTATTTAAGGAAAATATACAGGTATAATAATACATTATTAATTTTTAAATTAAGTCATTACAAAAGCCAGTTAAGTTTTAACTAACTAATGATAACACACTTGATCATTGGGCAGAACTACTGATATGAAATTTGTTTTTATGTGAAATTTTAAAGGTAATGTTAAAACAGTCTCACAATGAAATAGAACGTTTAAACCTAGGGATTATGTAAGGTGCTTGATGGCAGATATAAATTTAAAAATGTTCAAATTAAATATATCCAAAATATTATAACGTTGGTTATAAAAATTACAGGCTCTAACAAAAAATCGATTGCCCCCATAGTTAAATTATTATTTATGTATTATTCTTCAGCATACAATAACATACTAGAGCGGGTCACCCGCTGCCCGTTATATTTTACTTTCGTTTACCATGCTATATCTAAATATTATACAAAATATATAATCGTATATTACTTACTATGGACACAGAATAAATAATAGCTAAGCATTCGAATAAGAATAGGACTGACCTGGCGTCATATTAACTCTAAATTCAAACCAGTTAGGTAGGGTGAGCAAATCAGATATTTTATAAGAATAATTATGAACGAAAAAGTATTAATCTGAATCTAGCCTTTCAATCTCGCTCATCTTTCCATCACTGTCTGAGTAGTCATCATTGTCATCATTATCATCACTGCTGCTCTCCCTTATAAAATAGAACATGGATTTACAATATTCTAGTTAGTTGTAGTTATTTAAAATATTCTTAACTAATATCAGTATTTTCAATCAATTTATAAAAATAATTATGACTTAAAAAGTAATTATGATTTAGTAATACTGAGACTCAGTTAACTAATCGGCGAAAAAATTGTTATTCATACACAAATTAATTTTCTTTGCAAGCCGTACTTTTCAAGTGACAGTTGGCAGACCGCGCCAAAGACGTTCCTATTCTTACTTGAATCGCATTGTAATTACATTTTTGTATATATATTAAACAAGTCTTGTATTCTTATTTTTGGCATGATGTAAATCTAGATTATTTATGATAAAAATGATTATATTTACTCGTAAAATGTATGATTTGTTTTAATTAATTCATAAAAAGCCACCTTGACCTATTTTGATTTTTTCAACATTCCATTCAATATTAACTTAATAATTTGAGATTTATTTTATCTACAAGCTTCTAGCTGCCTACTAGGTTAATAGTCAGGAAATTATAAGGAGGGATAATTTGTTATTGATTTATGTTATTTCACCAAAGGTCTTACTTTTCATAATTCAGCATTTTTATGTTCATTGAAAAAAAAAAACATATTTTTAATGTATAATCGTGTATACTGTAACTATTATATTATTAAGGAATTACAATCAATGAACAACAATGAAAAGTTCTAATTCATGATTCTGTCAAACAGTAGGAGCAACGTTAATATCTACTTGATCGTTATCGAGTATGCGAGTAACCTACTACATTTATTAAACACTTAGTATTAGCACAGAATAAATAATAGTACTACGTACTATTAGGTACAATTAAAAATATTCCGGATACAGTTCCAAATATTTTGGTCACACTTAAAGCATATTAAAAATTGTATAACTTGTAAATATAAAATACGATTTAGCAAGAAACTTCATGAGCGTTTACTGAGCGGCCCAAAATTAAAAGTACTAAACATGGGTTATTTTGCAATAATTCTCAATATAAGCAAATGGTAAAGAAAAAATTATTAAAAAAAACTCAAACATTTTGTTCTTTTTATCTTTTAAATTCAAAATGCGTGGTAGGTAATTCATTATTTTTACTGATTTTACTGCGCACGCGTAGGGTCGTTGCACCGGTAAGCCGACCGGGTCTAGATTTCGGCCTTTGGCACCAAGTGATGCAGTAAATTTGATTAAATAACGATTTTAATAAATATTATCGTACGAAATAAAATTCATTGTATTTGTAAATAGTTGCACTATATCTGGCAACATTATTTAATCGTTTAAACACAACATGCGACTTATAACAAATAGTTCAGTTCGACGCCGGCACAGGAGCTGTCAACGCGTGTAAGATCGAGCAAAAAAAATAGTGACGCGCGCTTCACTGAAAAGTAAGTTTGTGCTGTATTTCCTATGATTATTTAATATTGCACTTATATTTCACTATATTTTCACTTAATACTGTATTTTCACATTGATTAGTAAAATATATTATTGAAAAAGTTAAATAATTTGATGGCCGGAAAGTGATACATTAAATTGTCCCATTATTTGGTTGCCGGCCGTGCGGCCGGAAAGTAGCCCAAGTTTAGCTTAAATACTTTGTCTCTTTCATTTATTTGGTTTAATGCTATTGTCTTCTTTCTTATTTATAATGAAGCGTGTCCTTGCGAAGACACTAGCCTTCAGTTTTCGGCCATCAAGTACTGCAATTTGAACGGTTAGTGATGAAACTAAAATACCCATTTCGGTGGTGGCCGAAAACTGGATTGAGTCTATAATTATTATTTAGTTTTCGGCCAACTTAAAATTGAAGGAATAGGGTGGCCGAAAATCGGACGCTGTTTTGGTTTACGGCCATTTCATAAAATATTTTATTCCCGTTTTGTTTTAGTAAGAAAATTTAATAAGACTGTTTTTTTTCAGATGGCTCCTCCGAAGAAAAAAATAAATAATAATAAAAAAAATGCACCATATACACAAGATACTATTAACAAGGCACTTAGAGATATTCGCGAGAAAAAAAAATCCATTAGAGAGGTCTGCCGAAATTATGGAATCCCTAGGACAACTGTCCAGGATCGAATATCTGGAAGAAGTAGTGATTCGATTAAAACGCGAGGTCCTGATCCTATACTAACCAGTGAAGTCGAAAAAAATCGTAGACTGGCTAATTGACATCGCAAAGTGTGGTTTCCCTATAAAAAAATTTGAATTGCTAGACACTGTTCAGAAAATTATAAAAGACTCAGGCATGCAGACACCTTTCAAAAATGACCGTCCTTGACAAACCTGGTTTATAAACTTCATGAAAAGGCATCCAGAAATTTCACAAAGATCCGCTGAAGGAATAAATAAGGCGAGAGCAAGAATAACAGAGGAGTCAATCAGACGCTGGTTTGGAGAGCTTGAATCGTTTCAAAACAAATAATCGTGATATATTGGAATCTCCGGAACGTATATTTAATGGAGATGAGAGTGGATTCGCCCTTTGCCCCAAAACAGGAAAGGTTCTTGGTCCTCGAGGGTATCGCAATCTATACCAAATTAAAAGTGGTAGTGAAAAAGATAATTTAACTGTTTTGGTGACATTTAATGCTAAGGCACAAGTATGCCCACCACTAATAGTTTTTCCATATATTCGCCCACCAAAACAAATCGCAGATAGCATGCCACCACATTGGGTCCTTGGAAGGTCTGATAGTGGTTGGATGCGAAGTGATGTATTTTTGGAATATATTACGAATGATTTTAATAACTGGGTGGTGAGTAATGAAATACAAAGACCCATTCTATTACTGGTAGATGGACACAAATCCCATATGTCACTTGAGTTGAGCGGGATGTGTGAGCAAATGGGAATAATTCTTTACGCTCTGCCACCTAACACCACACACATACTCCAACCGGCAGATGTCAGTGTTTTTGGGCCTTTGAAA